GTGTTTCTCCTGACTTCGTCATACTGGTTGTCCTTTTTGGGGCTCTTGACGACAACACAACACTCACAAGTCAACAGGCTCCAGTTGGCCGATGACCCACTCAAACAACTGGTCCTTTCTCGACATCATTTTCTTCTCAGAAAACGCCTCGCTCTTCCGCCAGGTTCGGAGCAGAGCAGCCTCGGCCTCGTAGGTCCACGGACTCATCTCGAACAAAAAGAGGGAACAAAACAAACCTTGAACAGACGAATGTCGAATAACTGCTCAACTCAAGCAAAGTGTCTTGAAACTAATTTTACTTGAAAGACACTGTTTTGCCGCCAAGCGTCACTCCCATCAGCGGCAACGCAGCCGATTTCCCCACGTCAGACGCAGCAGCGTCTGACGCTCAAACTTCCCGCGTTGCGTCAGTTGCCATGGAAAAGCTCATGATTCTGACGCTGACGCAGCATTTTTGCCGTAGTGTGACCGAGGCCTTAGTAAGAGTACATGAAAACCATTTTTTTCATGTACTCTTGTTCTGACGCTGACGCAGCATTTTTGCCGTAGTGTGACCGAGGCCTTATAGGGGATTGCGCGGCAGGTTGAAGCTGATCAAAACTGAGTGGACTCGTGGACTCTGTATAGTGGATTTTGGACCAATGGACTCTATATAGGGTGCTGGACATCATATAGTGCATGGACTCTATACTGAGTCCTACATATATAAAGTATTATTACTGTAAACCGTGAAATTATTGCGATGGTCTAATTTCTGCGAAATTCGCGACCGCGTGGAAATCGCGAAATTTAGACAGCGCGAAAAGGAGATCCATGGCATAAAAGGTTTAGCAAGAATGCCATTCTGCAATCGCAAAATTAAAACCTCGCAAACCTATCCGGATTCTGAAAACGCGAACTAAAAACGCCGTGAAAATGTCACGCTTCACAGTACACTACTCACAAAATTATCACTTCGGTGTTACATATACATGTACATGTACATGCAGTTTGAACACTCGGGCAAGGCATGTTCGGGCCTGGTTTAAATCTGGCTTTGGAAAATATATTTTCCTTGCTATCGGGTTCGGCCTCATTTTCTCTGTGCTGCTCGCTGATGAGTCCGCAAAGTCAAAGGACGAAACAGTTCTGTCCGCAGATTGCCGGAGTAGTCAAGTCGTGTGCACGTACAGTGTATTCTCTTCTATACTACTCAATCTCTGGACAGCCACAGCTGCTTCAACCACCTTGTTCGGTATCGTCAGTGGAGCTCAGAGTAAGAGCTACTGGCCGAACCGATCGCAATAAAGACTAAGTAATGAAGAATAACGCATTTAATTTGTTTAGCCGGCTCAAAGCAGCACAGTCAGAGTGCTCCAACAGCGATGAACAAAGCGAGCCCTGCTTTCTATTGTTGTTGTAGAAGTTTATTTAACGTCGCACCACAAACAGGCGATTTCGCCTCCTTTGATACATGTGGACGACAGAAGGAATGAGAGAGAGGGGGGGGACAGAAGTATGGAGAGAGGAAGGGTAGAAATAAATAAGCAATCAACCTCAGGGCTACACCAAAGCAAAAACGGAATGGGAACATACTATATACAAAATAGCTTACAAAATAGCTTCATACATATTATTGCAAAACACTTTTACTATTCTTCAGTCCGCTATACCACAGAAACACACTAGCCGAAAAGCATTTAAACGGAGCCATGATGCGCTTTTAGCAGGGCACAGAACTGAAGGTGGCTGGGCTCGGAACGGAGATCAGGCGGGAGCTGGTTCCACAGGACTGCGCCGATGAACTGCATGGTCGCTCGACCCGCAGGTCCGGGCCAAAATGGTACTCGAACGAGGTGATGTGCTGCTCCCCGAGTGCGGTCACCAGTAACTCTCACGAAGAAGCTGGTGAAGAGGGAGCTAGCTCGGGAGAACAGACAACGACGGACAAAGATGAGGAGCTTAATGTTAAACATGTCCTCCAGGGTGGTGAGGCGGAGCTGTTCAAAGATCGGGCTCGTGCGCGACCACGGTGGCAGACCGAAGAAGCCGCGGATAGCGCACTTCGTTAGACGTGTGAGGGGCTCCATGTTGCCAATTTGAAGTGACGGATAATAGGCGTTGGAAGCGTACGACAACCTGACTTCCGCACCTGCTGGATTGTGTGATTGACGTGAGGCTCCCAGGAGAGCTGCCCATCTACCATTACGCCCAGGTACCGCGCTTGTTCCACAACTGCAAGGGCTGCATTCCCACAGCGAATTCGAATGTTATCTGTGTCAGGGGCTGGGCCTCTTGGGGTAATCAACAGAGCTTGCGTTTTCTTTTGGTTCAGCATTAGTCCGCGGTCCTCCAACCACTGCGACAGGCCAGTGATGGCTGTGCTTAGAGAAGAGCACACTTGTTCGCAACTGCCCGAGGCTTCAATTGCAATGTCGTCTGCAAATTCCTGGTTTGTGACCTGCTGGGGCAAGCAGCATCGAAGGTTACGGATGTATAGTGTGAACAGGAGGGGGCCGAGGACGGATCCTTGCGGCACCTCTCGACTGCATGCGACGTATTCCGAGCAATTTCCGCCCACGACTACGCGTTGAAGCCGCTCACTCAGGTAACTAGTGAACCATAGCTGGACAGTACCGCCGACCCCAATGTCGGATAGCTCCTGTGCCAAGATGGTGTATTTGACACAGTCGAAAGCCTTCGACATATCCACGAATATCACACCTGTGAGTTTGCGCTCATACTTCGCTTTCAGCCAGCGATTGACAGCTAGCACAAGAGCGTCCTCCGTACTGTGGTTCTTCCTGTACGCGAACTGCGAGTCAGGGAGAATACTGTGATCGGTCAGAAAGGATGTAAGCTGAGCTTTGACGATCTTCTCGAGGAGGCGAGAAACGACTGGTAGTAGAGAAATAGGTCGATACGCAGTAGGCTGACAAGGGTCAAGGCCGCCACCTTTGAATAGCGGCGACACATTAGCAATTTTAAACTGACGGGGAACACACCCCTGACATAACGAAGTATTGAAAATGATGCTGAGCGAGGGAGCCAGTATTGATGCCGAGTTTCTAAGGACAATACCCGGCAAGTCATCATGTCCAGTTGCTTTTGACGCGTCAACGGACTGGAGAAGGGCCGTAATGTCCTCCGTCGAAACAGGCGCAAATTCCGTGAATGCTGGTGCTTCAAGTTCGGCTGGTGCGTTGGCGCACAGCGCGTCTGGTCGTCCAGGGTCATGAACAACTTCGCCAAAAGTTCGGGAGAGGATTCCAACAGGTACTTGTGGTGGGCTTGAACTTTTCGCTCGTCCAGTCACCACGTTTATCGTATTCCAGAGCTTCCGTCCATCCTTTCCGGCCGACTGTAGGCGAGCTTGAAAATATTCTATGGAGTATTCAGACAGTAGTAGTAGTAGTATTGACATATCCGCGGCAAGCCGCTTATGTACAACGGCATGGGAGAGGATAACAACAAATGAAAGTATATTGTTGGGGAAATCCACGGTATTATCGAATATTCAACAATGACGGGTGTGGGGTTATACCAAATTCCCATAATGTGGAAGTACGTTATTATTGTTGAAAGCACTAGGTGATCTGCACTCTACAATTCAGAGAGTACCTATAGTAAACATTTAGTATTTTGTGTACGTACTTGTCCGAGTCACTTACCAAAACACTGTCTTCGCTGAAATAATTGCATGGCATGCGAGACTGCACGGATTTCAGTGAAGCCTGCATACTGTACATGTACAAGTTCTACATACGTTGTGGGGAAGCACATTAGTCTTCAGGGGTCGCAAACTTGAAGTGCTTCCAGGAATGCACTCCTGACAGAAACAATACCACATTACCGGCGAGCACTGCTACGTGGTGTGCTGACTAACTTGCTAAGCGAAGGGCTTCCAGTTAGGCACTTGGAAACTTTTCACTACGGCTCTGGCGACTTCATTATCCGCATACCATGCCCACTCTAGCCACTATTGTAGCAGGGCGCTTTCAAGATTCCAGATGTGCTTTACAAGCGTGACTGTAATTTTAACGACCATCTTCCAATATCGACATGTATCGCTAGCACTTTCACCCACACAATTACAGCGCGCCAACTTAGTTACTAACTACCGTCAATTGGTTTAGATTGCTGTAAGAAGTTACTACGTAAATGTACATACATGTACATGTACATGACTCTACTGTTATCTAAAACTCTCCTATTTAAACTTGAGAAACCAGAACCGTGTATCATGTATTGTACATGTACGTCACTTCAACTAAGAGACCTGATTCGGCTAACACTGTAATCCGTTAGCACATACAGCTATACAGGGTTAGACAACCAATGCTACCACGCGTTCTTATACAAGTTATAGTGGCTAGTGCCATACAATAGTGATGTGCGCGCACGTGGCGGGTAAGTGGAGAGGCGGCATAATAATAATCACGTCAATTGTTTAGTGAACTTCCCAGTTGCCTGGTCTGGTGTAGAACTGACTGTATTAGACAGTGCATGTGTAAGCTGACAACTGCAAGTCATGGTATGCAAAGTTATTAAATTTTAGTCTGAGCTGAGGCCAGGGGGGCAGTGATACACACTACCTACAATGTACCGTTACAAGTACAGTAAAACCTGGTGTAAGCGACCTCTGGGTTTAGCGACCACCTGCTCTTAACGACCGTTCTCCCATGCACGGACAGTTCTACACAGACACTGTGGGACCTGGTCCTAAAGACCACCTGGCTTTAACGGCCGCATTTGCTTTCACCGTGGGGTGCAGGTTTTTACTGTACAGGCATTCGGTGCAGTACATGTACTGCGTACACCGCTTACAGTAGTCAGTATGCCCTTTCCACGATGGACAGGCTGACCGGGGCACAGCCACATTCCCCGGTGAGTGCGCGGAGAGCAAACAATGGGGAAACTAGGCACTCTTATTATTGTGGTCATGTGTTTAAGACACCCATTTCCAGCTGGGCCGCCTTTCCCCTGTGGAGTACGGAAGTAGGAATTCAGATCTAAGTGCATGCGATTTGTTCGTCGCTGTGCCTCGATTTCGTCATTGTGTTTCACCGATGCGGGAAGGAATTGACGACACCAGGTCCCCCGAATATATTGTTATGTCAAACGAAACAGGGGTTTTAGCGAGACACAGTATTCAAGACGTGATGTGTTGTCACCGAAGTTGAATCTAGACGCTCCATTGAGGAATTCCAGAGCGGGAGTGATCGCGAGTTCTTGCAACCTCTCCCATTTACGCTTGCCCCACCAGTGCTTTCCTCACCTGTTCCTACTATACACGTGCCACGCTTGAACCGAATTGACTCCTACAGTTACAGTGTTTCTTACTTTATATAAATTATAGCCTTGGCCAGCTGATTGGAATACACCGTCACGCGGCAAAACGTCTCTGGAACAGCGGGCTACAAAATAGAGCACCTCCACTCGATCGCGGTCACATTAGAAGAACGCGCCCCAGGAAAAGGAGGTTCTCCGTTGGCTCGGATCTACATCGTCGTGCATACAGCAAGCACTGTTGTGTTGTTATAATCATCCTGTTTTGAGAGCTTTCAGCTGGAGGCCTCGGTGTGGTTTCCCCTCAGCCGTCCTCAGTTTAGAGTATTGCTGCAAGACACCATGAAGGCAACAAGCAGACGGGATATTGGCGCGGTGCTGGCTGTGGGTGGTGCCTCACGGAACCGTGCACGCAGGACGCAGCGTCCTCCAGTGGTCGATAGCGTCTGCTCCTCACCCCACGCGTCAATGATGGCGCTGGTGGCGTTGCTTCTCTCTGCGCCTGTGCTGGTCTTGGCGAACAAGGCACCGGCGTGCAGTGATGGCCGTCACTGTCAGAACGGAGGCGTGTGCGACACCAGCGAGGACGCCTGGCAGACGTGTGACTGTAGCTACACCGGTTTTGAAGGCAGCCATTGCCAAACTGGTAAGTGACGGGAATCTCATGATGGCATACGTACAGTCATGTACATGTGAGGTCAAGCCTAAGGGTGATTGAGAGACCTGAGGCCAACTGAACTACATTTTTAAAGTTTTGCACTGTACTGGTAAGAGGTGAACCGCAAAACTGTATCCAAATCCATCAACATGACATGTACATCATTGATCGGTTGACAGCATGTTACAAGGCGGAGGACCCACTGTGTTGAAAACGGTGCTCCTGACTAACGTTACAATCATCATCAGTTGACAGAGCCCCTGCCCTGCCACCATTGGCATTGAAGACCATTCAGTGAACCGTATGGGCCTGGCCTTGGTTCCGACCCTCAGTATACCATGTATACACGAGCGAGTCTTTTGTCATTTGTCACGATATGTTTGTGTCCGTTACAAAACACTGACATCCAACATTGTACATGTACATGTGCAGTCAACTTCGCTTATAACGACTGCGGATATAACGACAATTCGCGAATAACGACAACATTTCCATGCCCAGAGCAAAGTCCCTTTCATAATAATATTATTATAATGAGACTTCGGGTATACCCACACTTCGCGAATAAAGACACTTTTTTGATGCCCCGCCGAGTGTCGTTATAAGCGAAGTTGACTGTACATGTATCTCTAAGTTTCGTGATCAGAAACATTCTCAGACTCAGTAGATCTACGGACCAGAGCTGTGCTAGAAGTAGTATCCCGCAGACACCGACCAGTTTGCACCAGGGAGTAGTAAAATTTTTACTACTCCCTGGTTTGCACATACCGGTACTGGACACTGTACATTTTTGCATGATTGTAGAATGCAACGTACAACGTACTACATGTACATACATGTACATGACTTGTAGTGTATATGCCCTTTGCCACTAGGACGTAGCAGTCCTACAAATACAATGTCTTCTTCTTGACATTGGACTCGGGTGTCGGTGGCAAGCGACGGAACAGGAAGATCGAACTGCACCTTTTTCCGCAGCAGGCACTGGGCAGATGGTCTGACAGCAATGTGATGTCACAACACCAGGATTTATGGGGATATTCCGGCACCAGATGCGAGGGATTTTAGAAATGATGACAAACATAGTGGTACTCGATCTCCGGACTGTACTACACTCATTTTGTTAGAGTAAAACCTCACATCTGTTACCGGAATGTCACCCTTACCATGCTTGCGGCCTTAGTCTGAGAAAACACGACACGCTGCTGGGGAGCGCAGTTGTTTGTGGACGCTATCGCCACCGTAGTTCCGCCAACTACACATGGTATGTCCGAGCACACACGCACACGCACATACACACACACACACACACACACACGCACGCAAGCACACATACCTCATGCGGGCACATGCATTGGCCATTGCGCCCTCACCCAGTAGACCTACACCGCACAAGCACAGACGCTCTGTCCCTGACTGTCTGTGCAGAGTGTCCGTCGGTCCCTACACCTGGTAGATCTACACTCACTCGATCGCAGACGCAGTGCTTTGACTCGCGGTAGTCACCTACATACAGCATACAGTCAACTTCGCAACTAACGACTGCGGATATAACGACAATTCGCGAATAACGACAACATTTCCATGCCCAGAGCAAAGTCCCTTCCAACTGTTATACATAATGAGACTTCGGGTATAACGACACTTCGCGAATAAAGACACTTTTTTGATGCCCCGCCGAGTGCCGTTATAGGCGAAGTTGACTGTACACACTACTCAACAGACTTTGAATATGACGTCATTGTATGGACTGTTGTGTACATGGTTGTATGTGTCTCGTTGTTTTTCTGTTTGCAGTCGCCTCTTTCGTCAGCTTTTGCAATGGCACTGGTGCTAAACTCCAGCTGCCGACAGCCCGTCGCCGCCTATTGCAAATTGACGATGGCACAGTGCTGGAAGTGGTATATAGAACATTGCCACCAGCACAAAACACGGACTCCAGTCGGACGACCGGGAATGTTTTGATACCCATCGTAGCGTTGCGCAACACCAACGACGAGTATGCCCTGAAGATCTTCCAGTACGGCACGAAGATTGAAGTTCAGACGAATGTCAAGACAGGAAGACGAAGGGGGGAGGTGCAGACCCAAGAAATCTCCGGCCTTGAGCAGTTCCGCTATCATCGAGTTCGCGTCGAATTCGAGGCCTTGCCCCGCGGCGGTGAGGTCCGTGTGGCTGTGTATAGAGATGTTGACAGCGTCGGCGCGCTCCGTTCGTCTACGATAAGCCTCGGCACCTCCTTTGAGTGGAGCCAGCTCAGACAGGTACGGCTATACTATAAAATAGTAATAAAATTACTTCCCCCAGGCGCGCAGCACCGCCGTTGGCGGTGGTCCGGCCAGGCCAGGGGGGGGGGGGGGGGTTCGGGGGATGTCCCCCGCGGAATATTTTTGAAATTAGGGTGCAAAATCCTGCATTCTGGGCACTTTTGGCATTGTTTTACTAATACTATGGTGGTCGTGGTCGGGCGAAAAAGTGGTCCGGCCAAAGCCGGACCGGCCGGAGCGGCTGCTACGCCCCGTCCCCAACAGATCCATGTCATCTCCACTGTACATGAATGTCGTCTTATCCAAAACGAATGGGATTAGATAAGCCATGAGCCTTTTCCAGCAAATCCTAAACCAATAAAATTCGTCCCTTGTCCTGTGTGGGCATGCACGCGCGTATGTGTCTGTGTCTGTGTGTGTACGGGCGTATGTGTGTGTTTGCATGTACGAATGACACATTTGTTTGTTCTGCATAGAGCCCACTGCAGAGTATTGAGGTGGGCACTTTCCCTGCGACCTACCCTGGATCACAGGCACAAACCTCTACGAGTCCCTTCTGCGGCCATTTCAAACTGGCACGGTTTGAAGATCAAGATGTCGTCTCCAGCATTGTGCAAGCATCTGATGCTATGAACTCAACAGGTCTGATCGGCGAACGTGCCTATGAAGACTTTGGAGTAGGTTTCAACACAATCAAGGCGCACAAGCACCACGCTAGAGCCAGAGCTGACGTTCACAGCGTCGACATTGACTTTCGTTCAGCTGTACACCAGGACGCTGTGCTGCTGGGACTTCACGGGCCAAGCGAGCTCCTGCTAGAGCTCGTTGGCGGCCAACTTGTCTTGGTATTTCTGTCTCAGCAGGAAAACTTCCTCAGGCGGCTCCACACGGGATCCGTGAGGCTCGACGATGGGCAAATGCACTCGCTGTCGATTTGCGTACAGCAGGACATGCTCCTTATAAGGACAGCGAATGTCAGCACAAGTGTCGAATTTTATCATAATTTCTCTGCCATTGATTTCGGAGGTTCCTATCTGGGAAACTCGAGTGATCGTCGCGGTGTTGCGCCTGGATTCCTGGGATGTATCGCCAGTGCCCGGATCAATAGCAATAGTGTGAATCTGCGCCGTGCAATTAGCAAGAGCGTGCAAACTGACGGCGACATTGTCAACGGCTGTCCGTCCTGTGTGCTGACGGATGGATGTGGACGTCGGAGCAGCGTGACAAGTCCATCGGAACTGGCAGGCGAGACGACGTCGTCAATGGCAACCAAAGAAACAACAACAAGACAGCCAGCACAGCCAATGACGTCAACAGCATTGAAGAGTGAATCTAGTCAGCTGGCCGGGCCGACAGATGAACAGGAAATGATTACCATGGCAAGAACGGAACAACCTGCGCCAACATCATCAGTTGCATTGGGGTCGGGCGAGGACTTAGCTGTAGAGATTGATCCGACGACCAAGTCTGTTGCTGAGATGCCCAAGTCCACAGGAGGAATCGAAACGACCGCCTCATCCACCACCTCTCAGACCACTTTGCCACCCACCTCAGCGACCACTTTGCCACCCACCTCAGCGACCACTTTGCCACTCACCTCAGCGACCACATCTCCAACCACCCCAGTGACCACATCTCCAACCACCCCAGCGACCACTTTACCACCCACCCCAGAGACCACATCTCCAACCACCCCAGCGACCACTTTGCCGCCCACTCCAGTGACCACTTTGCCGCCCACCCCGCAGACTACCTCTCCGACTGGCACAGCACCTGTTCGTGTAACCGTCATCCCAACGGTTGGCCTGGCGTCGGGCTCGAGTGCGACAGAACTAGCGGCGGACTTTACGTCAGATGACCCCATTTGGATAGGATCCTCTGGTGCAAGTCCCAGCCCCGACATGGCTACGGTACCGATCACGAGGGACTCGCAGGGCAGCGGACACACGCCAAGCAACGGGGCGAGCTCTGCAAGCTCATCGACAGAATCGGTGATGATGATGACTACTGGTTCCGGGCAAGACGGAGTGACGGAACCCACGACGTCCGTGACGTCATCGCTCGCAGCTCAGTCATCCAGCATGCCGCAGACGGGTGGCAAGGCTGACAACGCCAACAATGTCGATAATGACGCATCCGGGACTTTCCCAACTGATCACGTGACCATAATGACATCACCAACTCCTGTTGGATCAATGAAGACATCTCCAGCTACTGATGAATCAACGAAGACATCACCAACTACGGTTCAATCAACAGTGACATTGCCTTCAGTTGAGTCAACTATGACATCACCCACCACAGCTCGATCAACAATGACGTCAACCACCACAGCTCGATCAACAATGACGTCACCCACGGCCACCACAGCTCCGTCAACAATGACGCCACCCACCACAGCTCCATCAACAATGACGTCACCCACCACAGTTCCATCAACAATGACGTCACCCAGCACAGCCCAATCAACAATGACGTCACCCACCACAGCTCAATCAACAATGACGTCACCCACCACGGCTGCATCGCCGACATCACCAACCTCACATGGCGTGACCAGTGTCGCAGCAACACGAGCGACCGATGCACCGCTTCCCACCACCACCACCACCACCACTGCCAACGGTGATGCACAGCCCAGCACTGAAGCATGGACGCGCGCCGCAGCCACTGCTGCGCCCGCCACGACAGACCAGGGCGTAAATCCGAGCAGCGCAGGCGAGGGAGAACTGGCCGGCAATGACGATGCCTTGCTACCGACAGTAGCGTACGTGGGCATCGCGATCGGTGCTGTGGGAATGGCGGCCCTGGTCGGCGTGGCGCTAGCCTACCTGCTACACCAGCGCTCGCACTCGGGCCAACACGAGATGCCGGTCGACGTATAACCGCTTTCCTCGGAGTGCGTGACTGTGAAAATAATCGATTTGAGCCGAAGCCCATTTGCCGGCATGCAGCACATGCTGTATATGTATGCAAGCTGGCCTTGGAGTTTTTCAGGTGCACGCGGATGTGCGGCCGTTGCTAATATGCATGGGCCGTCCGTTGAGATGTTTTAAAACAATCCATAGAAGTCTGAATACATGGAGTATGAAATGTACAGAATGTTATGGTCGCCTAGGAAACGGTCACAACTTCCCTATATCTTAGATGACTACTTTTTTTATTCTAAACTTGCTGTTAGCAGCGGATCAATTTATCTTATTCCACCCGATTGTTGCCACAGATCAAACCAACTGAAGCAACGGCCTTGAATAGCATGCAGTATGATGGCAATGCTCCATACTTAGAATTCCCTGGCCAGTGGGTATAGGAGGGTTCCTTTCCACGACTGCTTCAAGACTACAACCTAGAGTGCACATGTCTAAGCTGCCTTATACTCTTGCTACAACTAATTACTTGCATCCTCTTGAGAGTAGAATTATTACAACTGCACACGTCCACGTGAGAATTTTAGAAGTGATGCGAGAGGCGGCACACCTACATGTACATGTACATGCACTGTGTGCGAGTACTTATATTTTTTACAATTGCTGGCTCATTCTGCTTCCCCGTTCAGCCTTCATCTAGTCACGCCGTGTGCGTGTTTTGAACACATATTAGACCAAAGTATTAGCAGGAGTATAGAACTAGTATGTACTCTTGACATCAGTCTTCTATTACTAGGAACGAGAACTTCAATTCTGGAAAATAACTATTTTCACGGCCTGCATTTCTTACAAGTTACATGTTGCGTGGTGATGTCTGCAGCATTTATTCTAGTCAGTCCTCTATTTTAATGTACTTGTAGAGAAAGAATTCAGTGATAACACAAAGTATGTTTCAAATTTCCTTGCTTTGTCCATTACCGCATATTATAATACACGCAATTATCGGGCTTTGCAACACTAGACCATGATCAATGCAGTACATGTATTTGTCTACAAGTACATTAAATTTCATATCCTGAACTTTCAACAAGGGGGGGGGGGGGGGGGGGAGGGGTCGTAGCATGCACCCAGGGAGACAGCCCGGGACCATGGCACCTGAAAAGATACGCGCTTCGACCCCGGATTTAGAAGTTCTATAAACACGTGGTCCGCGGTCTACTCGTATGCAACTCAACGGTCATCCCTTAGCAAAACCCACATAGTTTCACAGAAATTCTAGTGATGGTTGTCGGAAAGAAATCTGTGCTGTTTGCCCTTGCCTATAAATTCCAGTCGCACGTTGAGACGACAACGCACACGACTGGGCCTCACACTGCACACGCTGCACAGGTTTATACAGGTTGAAATCACTGCAAGAGGGGGACCAGTCAGGTCACCGACAAAACAACAGGCCAGACATTGACAATCGACAATAATAAAATAATAATATTTAGTCCAGACATAAAATAGATCTCTTTTAAAATCTAAAAAAGATACACTCCATGCTAGACGGATTTTACATTCACGAAACTATCAAGTGTTCAAATTGATCCGCAAAGGTAAACCATCGTATTCCCAATTGAACATTTGCAGGTTATATCAAGGTTACTTTGCTATGCATACATGAACAGTCTAGAAAAGAAACATATCACTTAAAAAATGCTATTCTTCTGAAGCGGTAAGGCAGTAGCATTAAAGGCAGCATTCGATTGTGGAAACTGGATCCCGATCGCCGCCGACCAGATCACTTCGATCAGACGGATACAATCGAATGTGCACAACTGATAATCCGTTTCAAAACTTTAGCAACCGCGTTGCTACAGCTCATCCCGTTCTATTCCGTTGTATCTGTACGCGTTATGGTGAACTCCTGATCTAGTGTACGCATATTTCGAGTTTGGGGTAGATGCGATGCAAATGAATCCGTCGAATCCGGCTCTGTGAGGTGGGTTGACTGGATCCGATTCTGTGGGCCTGGGATCCGGATTCGTACAATCGAAAATGTACGAATTCGGCGAATCCGGATCGAAAATGCCCTGAGCATGTTGCCTTGCATGCGATGACGAACCAGTGCAAGCCAGTTTGAACCAGTGCAAGCCGGTGTGAACCAGTGCAAGCTGGTGCAAGCCAGTGTGAACCAGTGCAAGCCGGTGCAAGCCAGTGTGAACCAGTGCAAGCCAGTGCAAGCCAGTGTGAACCAGTGCTCGCAATTATTTTAGTAAAATTATCTCGTCCTCGCAGGAGGCTTCACGCTACTCAGTCGCCAAGGGAGCTGCGACGCGAGCAGCACCGTCCAGGATCACTTACGCCAGACGACCACTGCTTCGTGTCTATTGACAGGGGACGTCACCACCGCTCCGTGTTTGCATGGTAACTACCGATCCGGTGGCATGTGCTCGTCGGAGGGACGGTGTTGTGACTCGAAGTCGAGATGCACAAAGGCCCGCTCGACATGCGACAGCTTCTCCAGTTTGATCTGCAGCGACTCGCCAATGTCGTGAGCTTCTTTCAGCTGCATGGTCTCTGGGAGGACGAGGTGAACCTCCACGATGAAGTTGGTTCCGAAGTGGTACGCTCGTACAGTGTCGACCTAAGGCAGTTACAAAAAGATACGGCAGCCAAACAGGAGAGAGTCTTGGTGTGGAGTAAGGACGTGTGCGTGTGCATGCCCGAAGGTGCGCGCGCGTGTGTGTGTGTGTGTGTGTGTGCGCGCGCGCGCGTGTGTGTGTGTGTGTGTGTGTGTGTGTGTGCGCGCGCATGTGTATGTGTGTGTGTATGTCCTCACCCACTTAATGAGGTGTGATGAGCCCATAAGTGGAATCATTTTCACCGATTCAAACAGGGTCTGGTCTTGGGGGTTTCATGATAAGGCGATAACCAACACGCACCCATGCATAGCAAAGCTGTGCACGTTCACCGTAAGGCAACCTTTAAAGGATGCTGTTACATGCACGTGAATAATTCACGGCTCCAAACACGGCCTAGTCTTGAGGTGTTCTGATAACCTACAAGCAACTATAATGATTATAGCAAAGCTGTGCATGTTCACCGTGAGCGTACCTGGAGAATCCGCGTGCTGTGTTGCAGCGCGGCAAAGGTCAGCTGCTGAAGAACGGACGCGTCCGCGCCCTTCCCCACTAGCTGCTCCGCCTGAACACACACATGGACAAATTAGAACACAAAGACTTATCAGATTTACAACTGGCTTCGTCTCTTCGTGTGCTAATATGTTCCTGGTGCTCATGTCACACTCCTTTATTACTTGAAGTGTAAGCGTGCGCAAGAAGCAAATCTTTCTCCTTGGCCTCAACTTCTTTGTTGTACGGTTGGCCATTGTAGCCGTCGTCTACAGTAGGGCCGACGTAAAACCCTCTAAACCCACACCCGTACCAACACCCTACAGGGGCGTAGCTGGTCCCCATTTTAGGGGTGGGGGGGGGGGGGCATGACCCCATACGTGTAGGATGGCTGGTGCATGATATTCATGGTGATTATGACTTTATGTGCATGCTGAACCTAGGTTGACATTGGGGGGGGGGGGGGTACACGCGCCCCGTGCCCCTTTTAGGGAGGGGGGGGCATGCCCCCCCCCCCCCCATGCGGACTACACGCCTGCCCTACAATTCTCACGAATACAGCACCAGTACCATAGTAATCACCCGTCACCAACCTGCTCCTTGCCCGCCTTGATCCAGTTGACGATGATATAGATGGCGATGAAGATCCCACCGAGCGGGTCGATCCACGTGCGCACGTACGTCCCCAGCAGGCCGAAGACGATAGCGATGGCGTTGCTCATCGTGTCGTTGCGGTGGTCGATGGCCAGCGCCTGTACGCTGGGGTTGTTGATGCGCCGGCAGAACAGGTACAGCGCCAGCTTGGCCAGCACCGAGATACCTAGAATGGAATAAAAAAAAGAAAGAAAAGGAAAAGGACAAAAAAATGTTACGAGTTATTGCCAACTGTTCACTGACGTAACCAGATTTTGTATTTGTATTCATAGATTCTCCACAGGCCTTAGCCTAAATAGAGGGAGTCTCCGTTAGATCATAATACAGTCAGCGAGTGCGACAAAATGGCACAACACTGACAAAGAGTACCGAGACCGTAGAGAGCCTACGCTTCACCTTCTTTTAATTTTTCTATACAATTTCGAACGTGAGATCTCACGGCCAAAATGGCGCATCTCACGTTGCAACGTGTGATTTCAACGCGACAGAGGGCCATCTCACAGTGAAAAAAGGCGATTCAACGCACGTTTTGTCTCACGTTCGAAATCGAAAAAAACGTGAAGCGTAAACTCCCTAAAAATGTGGGCACATGTTATGTGATCTTTCCATGTTACAATTTTTTCCTTGGCTCACCATCTGAGTTCGTAAACTCTCTATACAACCATAAATTGGCTCACCATCCCGAGTTCAACTTTGCATACCTAAAATGGCGCCGGCCAGGCCTTTGACGTTCGGCTTGGCGTCGCCCTTGACGATGCTCTGCGCCGAGGCGATGATCAGCTGCAGCGAGGCCGTTCCCATGACGCAGGCGCAGATCACTATGGCAACGGGCTCGATGCGGCGCTTGCCCGCCGGATACTTGTAGACGTCGTTGGTCTTGGGCCGCATCATGCGCTGCGTCACGAACAGCACTATGCCGGTGAACAGGTCCAGAGCCGAGTCGACTAGGCTGGACAGGACCGAGAGACTGTCCGACAGGACGAGCGCCGCGATCTTCAGGCCGAACAGCAGGACGTTGACCAGCAGGCTGGCGTAGGTCGCCTGCTGCACGGCGCTCAGCGCCAGCTGCCGCGCGCCCTGACGCCTGTGCGCCGTAGGGGATTCCCCGCCGGACCCGGGTTCGAGGTTACCCGCCCGTTGATTGTCGTCCAGCTCAGCGTACTGACGTCCTCCGTGCTGCACTGACTGTCCAGGTCCCTCACCAGGTGGTTGAAGCAGCAGGTCACGATCACTGTCGTCTTCTGAGCCCGAGGCTGGTCCCAGGCGTTCTACTTCCTCAAACGAGTCAAGCACGCGACCTTGGTGGACGTAGAACGATCTCACTTTCGGCTTCATTGAAGATAGGCGCCCCGAGCTGGGCACTACAGAGTCGGTGCGTAGGCCGCGCAGGAAATTACCCGACCAGGAGAAGTTGCTCGCCGCCAGGGCAGCATCGCTCCCTCTGACGTCCGGACTCGTCGGTTCGACAATTTCAATTCTAGTATCGCCGCGCCGTCTCTCCAGGTCTGGCCGAGTCAGAGATTCCAGTTCGGTAGAGTCCTCCATGACTGTCACGATGCTCACATGAAGAGCTCACTAGCTCTACTCTAGTCTCCAGCTCTGACAACGACTGCTAGAAACATGAAAACAAGACTCTAAATCCAACACTTCACTATCCAAAGATAAAGTTTTTGAAGAGGAACCTGCCCTTTGAACGTTGACGCTGTGCTCATAAAAAAACGAAAAGAGAACAAAGCGTGTATGCCGCGTGCAGACGCCAACTTTCGCGCCATGACAACGACTACGCAATCCCGAAACTTTCTTGGAACGTTTTGCATTCGGGTGGGTCAACTGCATGATTCGCTGATACATGTAATTGAAAACGCGAAAACCGAAGAATCGTGCGATTGACCGCGTGAACTCCTTCGGATTTTGTCAGGGCCTTGCGCAAGGCGGGAACGCTGTTTCATTTGGATTTCAACTTTCAAGTTTTGTCGTCAAACTATTTCCAAAGAGGAGAGAATGTGTTTTGGATTGTAACCTTTCTATCTTCATCAAACACGAAAATGGCCGTGGCTTCCTTTCCCGCGGCTGTTGTCTCCATGGCGGAGCAGAACCGTCCCAACGCGGCGGTGTCGCTGGTGATTCTCTGTGACTCGACGTCGAGAATTCTGCTGTGGCGTCCAACCGATGGAACCACAGCAGATCAAGACCGTGCCTGGACAACCCCGTGCACTCAACTGCACGGAGACCAAGACTGCGTTCTGGCATCGCGGAAGCTCTTGAGGGTGAGGCTGTTGGAGGCATTTTGCCGGCTGTGATTTGCTGTCGGCACACGTTCTTTGTCTGCGTTTGTCACAAATTCTCTTTTTTTGTGAAGACAGAATGACGTCGTAAAGTGGCAGTATATGCCAGGGAAGCGTTGTGTCGTGTTACAGTGTATTGTTCTTGTTGGTCAGGCAGTTACAGTAGGTCTACGAGGAGCAGCGTGTGGTTTCCGTACAGTGCGTGCCCATTTTGCCCACTCACTCAGTTTGTCAATTTCTGTACGTGCAATATTGCTTGGACCAAGTAAATAGTTGATCTACAGTGATTTTCGCCGACATGACTGACGACGTAAAGTCGTGGTAAAATCACGCAAAATACGTCATTTTTCAGTGATACCCATGCCGCCCCAATGTACCAATAAGTCACATTCGTTCTAAGTAATTTCGTTTACCCCCTGCTGACGCGATGCGACATGTCAGCATATGGGTTGGGTCCAGAGTGATGATGCAGCACGGCGGGCCTCCACCAACCATTCGGACTCTGCGTCACTGCTGCTCTTACGCAAGGTGCACTCCAGTTCCCTTGCCATGTCCGGCCTAGCGCCGCAACGGATGCGGTCCGTAGCTAGGCAACTATCCGTCACTCAGAACACAATGCTAAACTGTACAGATAGTACTGTATGAATCCTGTAATAGCTAGCCATAGGGGGGGGGGGGGGCACATTTACCACATGACCATAATACGAGACAGCCATGTTGGTTCCCACTCCATGTGCGACTATAGTATATTATTACACACACGCTCACACACACGCACCCTGGTGCGGCACTCTTAGTCGAGCCGAAGTGGTCTCTCGGGACTTCCACGACCTCTGTTTTATATTATATATTTTTATTTACATTGTATTCCGTCTCCTACAGGGCCTTCACCCGGGCCTGGTCAACTCTTTCAAACTCACCGGCGTACTGCGCCTCAACTACGACGCCATCCGGTTGCCAATGGCGACCGAGCGGCGGCAGCAGCAAGACTGTCAGCTGGGAGACGGCGGAGGTGGTGCGGGTGCTGGCCCGACGACCTGCGCGTCCGTGTGTCTGCTGGTGCGTGGCGACTCCACCACGCTGGCTACTGCCGAGGTAAGCAAGTGACATTAATTTTATACAAACCAATTGAAACCATGTATTGGAGTAGTGCAGCCCGTATTTGAAGGATTGCACATACTGTATAAGCAGAAATATTCGTCTGGAATTTAATTTCGTCTTTTTCGTCCAAGGAACCTTTGGGCTAAATTAAGTGCCGGACTAATGTCGATTTGTCCAGCTTTTCTATACACTATTATGATCCATGGACGAAATTTTCAACCGGACGAACTCCTTTTCTTTGCAGTTGGACGAAATTTTCTGCCTCTACAGTACTGTATTTCCCAAGTCCCAAGGTCCGTTGCATGTTCAGTTTTATAAAACAGGACCATTGTATTTCACTTCAGTAATAAGATCCTTCTTTGCAGCTATTGTAAGTCGCACACTCCGTAAGGTCAAGCAACGGGGTGCGACGTACAATTAATTTATTGCTGAAGTGATACTCAATGGTCCTACATGTATATTATAAACCTGAACATGCTCCGGACATTGGTTATTCCAATACTCTCTCTCTCTCTTTCACTCTCTCTTTCTTTCTCCCTCATAGACAACTGTTGAGGTTGCGAATGGTTGCGCCAGGCCACATTCGTTTCGCATTGGCTGGTTCTCGGTGTCGGACTTCCTTGCCGCCAGTCCATCAATGGAGGGTGTGGGATTCTCTGGAGATGCCCGCGTTGCCATCCAACAAGCTTCCGAAGGTAAGCAGTTTTGCTGTGCACCTACGCATGTGCGCGTGTGGTCACATACACACCCGCACACACACACACACACACACACACACACACACACACACACACACACACACACACAATCCTTTGCTCTCCACCCGAGTCTAACCTACGCAAGTGATGAGCTGTCAGAATTATTTTGTTTGTTCATTTTTTTGCTCCTTCAGGTATGCACTGTCTGCCGATGTCGTCTCTCAGCCTGCTGCACTCCAACGTGCTCGTGTCGCGCACGTCCTCGTCCTCGTTCGACGATCCCGGCGAGGACGACGCACTGCGGGATGTCGTTGCCACGGCCTCTGGGACGGCGGGGTCGGGAGCGCAGGGCGAGAAGATCGGCACGGCCGTCACACCGCGGCGTATGCCGGCGGTGACGATCACGTGTGCCACTCCGGACCAGGGCGGCGGCTTTCCCGCGTGCCCGCTGATCGCCGACTGTGCTGGCGTGACGCCCGCCCAGGTCAACTTCCTCGTCAAGTCCGGCTACGGGCTGAAAGGTGAGCGTTGTGCGGTGTTGTGCATGTGGTATATGAACATGGTACTGTTGGAGTCCCTTTTAAAATACGCGCCGGTACACTGACGTTTCAGTGTAGCGTACCTCCACGCGGTCGTAAAATGTGTACTTCATAGCCAATGGACTGTTCAGTAGTCTGTGGCGGCTAATGCCGGCAGAAAAATTGGCAGAATTTGGTACTTTTTCACTCTCTTTCTTTCTAACTGTCTCGTGTTCACATTAGGATTTCGCCTACCGGATTTTTGTTCTCTGTCTATCTGTGTGTGTGTGTGTGCGCGCGCGCGCGTGTGTGTGTGTGTGTGTGTGTCTCTCTCTCTCTCTCTCTCTCTCTCTCTCTCTCTCTCTCTTACTCTCTCTCTCTCTCTTACTCTCTCTCTCTCTCTCTTACTCTCTCTCTCTCTCTCTCTCTCTCTCTCTCTCTCTCTCTCTCTTCTCTCTCTCTCTCTCTCTCCTGTATCTATGTGGTGGGACTCAGAGCAAGCAGAGGTGGCTGGGTTGTTTTCAAGGTGGACGGGCTGTCGCAAGTTCATGAACGCGCAGGTGTTCTTGCAGATGGCCATGGCACCACCAATGTCCATGACGGAAGATGAAGCACAGAGATGTTTCTAGTGAGTGTGGAGTTCTGGGGGGGCAGTTGGATCCCGGGAAGGTACATGTACTAGTACTTTGGCTTGCCAAATTCTGGCAGTGAGCCAGTGCAAGTTGTTGTGCATTGGTCTGGAGCTTGATTGTGATCAGCGGTTGTTTCCGTTTTCCTTTGTTTTGGAGAGCAGGAGCAAGAAGGTGGGGTGCAATACGTTGTGATGAAAGCAGCTGTAACAAATATAGCAAGGGTGCAATGGACGTATTTACTAGTATATGTTGTACACATGACTCGCCTAGAAGTCTTTTATTTTCCCTGTATGTTCTCTTTCACCGCTAGTGTTTTGTAACAATGGAGATCTTCTGCGATGTTGAACATTCCTCACTCAAAAAGTCTTCTTTTTCTCTCTATGTCTTTTTTCACCGCTAGTGCTTTTGTAACGATGAAGATTTTCTGTGATGCTGAACATCACTCAACCAGCAGTTTGTTATTTTTTCTCTTTCTGTCCTCTTTCACCTGTAGTGTTTTGGATGTACACGGCCGTGCAACTCTCACTGTTCTCGATCTGTGTCTTGGTCTCGCCGCTCTGGATCCGGCCACACCGCACGGTGGTGTGTGTGCCGAGGTGAGATGTCGCATGATCTTCAGATACTACGACATCAGCCACGACGGCCGTCTGTCCTTCAGCGAGTTCTGGTGAGTGGAGGCGGTGGTGGCTCTTGTTGATCTATCTGTGTGCGTGTGTGTGTGTGTATTGGTGGGTGTATTTGTTTGTGTGCGTGATTGGGTGGATTTGGGGTTGGGTGGGTGTGATTGGGTGTGTATGTTTGGGGGGGGGGGGGGGGGGGGGTGTTCCTTTTCAATCTGTTTAGTTATGCAGTTCCACGTTGATTTACCTAGCAGATGTTGCATGTTCAAAGCCTACAAGAAGCATCTAGTATGCCTATAGTACATCTGTGGTTCTGGAAGAAGGACTCCATCATCATCATCATCATCATAATTTGGTCGCTTTGACAACAGATGTTTCTCTTGTGTTCTTCGACGTTTGCTCGTGATGTTGCCGTCGCGTGTGTGTGTTTGTGTGTGTGTGTGTGTGTGCATGTTTACCATGCAGTGACATGATAGCTGACATTCGTAGCTGTCGTGGACAGTCCTGTACGCCGGAAGAAGTCAAGCAAGACGCACTCATGGCTGCTCAGTAAGCCCTAGGGGTTTTAAACCCGTGTCGCTTTGGGGATGTTAAACTTTTTCTTGTGTGCTGCGGAGCATGTGTGTGCGTGTGTTGGTGTGTTTGGGGGGGGGGGGGGGGGAGTGTAATGGTGCTACAGTACAAGAATAGTATACCGCGAAGCCTTCAAGGGATGCAAAAACCAGTACTTTTTGGCTGGTGTGCTCTATCTACAAGGTGAAATGGCTGGAAATGGTCTCATGGGGTCTTCACCAATGTACATTCTATCCAATTCAAAGAGAAAAGTGTGTTATCTCCGGGGTACTCTGTTCTGAGCTGTTCCACTGTACATGTACGGCTGTATGGGCTTTGCTGAGTGGCAAGACTGTACCGTATTGTACTTGCTCACTGCTGTAAACTGTCCCCTCCCCTTGGGAGAGGGGACACACACATACACACACACACACACATATATATATATATATGCACACAGTGTTTGTCTGTCTGTCTGTGTGCACGTGTCTGTGCCTCAGGGTGTTTGGTTCAGAGGTGAAGGACAGTCTGGAGTTGACCGACTTGCTGCAGGCCGTTGGGCAGCTGAAGTTCCGCGGCACCTCGTCGCTGTTCCGTCTCAAGCAGTGTCCCATCAACCGTGAGGATACCGGGCAGACTGCATCGGGCAGTACTACACCAGTGGTGAGTGTTGGTCATGTGACACCAGTGGTGAGTGTTGGTCATGTGACACCTGTGGTGAGTGTTGGTCATGTGACATCGGGCAGTACTACACCAGTGGTGAGTATTGGTCATGTGACTACAGTGGTCCCTCTGTAATCCGGCACCATCTGTGCCACGGAAATTCTGCTGGATTGGGGAGGGTGCTGGATTAACAAATCGGATTTAATGCCACAATGTGCATGAAGCGGACATTTTGGCTACTGAAAATTGTGCTGGTTTATAAAGTGCTGGATTAAAGAGGGACGACTGTAGTGCAGTGCAATATGAATTACTGCAAGGGCCGATGCATACTTCATTTCGCTTACGGGAAAGTCATCGCGCGATGGGCCAAATTAGATGAGTTCAAGTCAACTTTTTTGCGATGCGACACGTTTCCCGTACGTGAAATGAAGTATGAATCAGGCTTATATGAACACATTTTGGCCGGAGAGAAGCTTTGGCCGATCTCGAATGGATCGGTAGCCATGGTTCACTTATGCATCATGATGTGCCTCTATGACAAACTTTGGCCTGTTGGTACCAGGCGCCGAAATCAGCGGAATTAAATCGCCAGTGGAAATTGGTTGATTCACAGCATTGCTTCATAGCTGCAGCAGTATATACCTGAAGTCTCTCATCCTTTCCCTGCCCCCCCACGCACACAGGGCAACGACGGAACGGACGCATCGTCACGTCGCCGTGGCAAGCGCCGGAGTCGCGAGACGCGCTTCGAGGCCGCCGCCGACGTGGACATGCAATCTCCGCCGACCACCCCCTCCGGCAAACGTGCACGCATACTGGACGGCGGCAGCAGTCCCGCCGACGGGAGCTCTACCAACGGCGCTGTCGGTGGCCATGGCGACGGCGGCGACAGCAGTGCCGTGGTGAAGACTAGCGCCATGGCAACGAGCAACACGCCGGTCGGACAGCTGCGCAATGCCAAGTGGACGTACGAGTTGGCAGTGCATACGGTGAAGGTACGTTACTGTGTTTGTGTCGTTCTCCAGACATACTTATTTTGCTTTGCGTTTTTGCATCGGATCAGAAGAGGAATGGTGAATAAACCGAAAGTACCAGAGAGAGAGAGAGAGAGAGAGAGAGAGAGAGAGAGAGAGAGAGAGAGAGAGAGTACATTTGTAAAGACAGATAAGTCTAACAAATTAGGACTGAGACCTCTACAGCAGGGTTTTTACGCCTGAAAGCAAGTGCATGATTTTAACAAGCAGGTTGTTAGTCTAGATTTATGCACAGATGGGGAAAAAAGCGCTGAAATTTGGTTATGAATGCAGAAATAATAGGAAAGGATGAAATGAAAGCTCACAACCCTGCACAGCCTTGCGAACTGGGAATGGTGGATTAGGAATGTGGGTTCAACGCTCGAGCAAGCACTCTCCGCCCAAGGTGTTCAACGCACTGCGATAAACGGAGTCCCGTCATACCTCAGAAAAGTGGATCTTCCGACCAGTGTTTTTGTTGACGTCGCAGCCAGATGATGTTTCTTCGCAGAGACGTCTTGCTGCACAAATGACAAATAAATGTTATTCTTCGATTAGAAAAACCAAGCGCTTTCAGAGCCCTCCTAAGAGAGTCCGGGATGAAATCACACACACCTACGTCAACCGAGAAAGAAACGACCTGCCACCCGTTTGCTCGGCATTGATCGGCCAGATCCACATAACGTCACCGTCTGTCCTTCCCTTGTTACTGACACTGAATCTATCCTCAGCACAAACTGTCAACACTTTCCAGAATATAATCCTACGACTCGTAGAGTACAGAACTATATCTGGTCTTAGGGTGGTAAGTGCAACACAGCTAGGGAAAGAAATCTTTGCACTAACTGAGTCGACAAGAAGTTTCCAGTCTGAGGCCGCCGACAGGAGATCAGTCGTAACCAACTTTCGTCTGGGCTGAACGTGAACTGGCTTCTCTCCCGCCTTGCGGAACAAGATGAAGTCAAGCTCTTTTGAATTTTCGGTTTGTACTGTGTATGCAGCATTGCGGACGTGAATCTCCTCACACATGTTCCTGACGATGACCCCGGGTGCATTGCCGTGCCTCCAGGCAGAGAGAGGACGGTGTCAACAAAAGCAGAGGAATAGAATAGAATAGAGACACGCCCAGCCTCCTGTTCAGTGCTTTGTGAAAATGACTTTATTCACTACCTGCCGGTGAGAATAGTTCTCGAGGTGATATTTGCCCGAGAGGATTTCAGGGACAATGCAGGCTCTGTAGAACTCTTCGACTTTAGGAGCTTCTGCTTCCAATACCTCAGCGTCAAATGCAACATTGCACATGTTCCACACCACCGGAGAAGACAACAACGAAAAAGCGCACCACGGAACACCAATGACGGCCATTCCCCTTGTACTTGGGCAAAGTGCTTGTGCGCTTCGCTGCGTGTGAGCTCTCCCTCCACTTCTTGCGTGAAGAAGCCCTTGCCGTACTTCCGCCGAAGGATGTCACAAAGACGAGAACTTGTCAAGCAACCATTGTGGAGAAGACGCCATGTGTCATCCTTGCCTTGTTTACGTGTGATCTCCTCTATGAGTGCCGCCACGTCTGGTGTCAGAGCGAAGTTTGTTGTGAAAGACTTCTTGACATCGCAGAGCGGCAGGGCTGTTGACACAGGCTGACGGGTCAATTTGCTCCGCCAGTGCATAGTTAAATATCACATGGTTCCACAGGTCTTGCCAAGTTGGGTTGTGGTCACTGTAATGGTGGCTGTCACCACATAGAGATACATGCCATGCCGTGTAGGGTAAAACACTGGAGATATGGCTTACGTGCAAACGAAGCGCAGTAAACAAAATCAAAACGTTTTTCAATTGCACTTCACAGCGAAAAGTTACTGTAAAACATGTAAATTTCGATGTAACTTTAACTTCGGTCATTTCGGTAGAAAAACCAGGCACCTAATTATAGGTTAGTGCATGGCAGGAAGGGCCTTATGGCTTGTTAGTGCCCGACAGGTTAGCCTGAGGGCCGTAGGCCCGAGGGCTACCCTGAAGGGCACAAACAAGCCATAAGACCCTCCCTGCCATGCACTAACTGTTTTAGAACGAGGTTACATGCACTATGTCACTTCCATCATGCTTGTGTACCATTATATTGGGTAGTTTTGTGGTTTGTGTGCAGAGTCACTTGGTGTGGTATGAAAGAATACTTTCTTCTGATAAGTTATGGTGACTCAGCACCACTTAGGAGTACTAAAAGTAGAATAGGAGCAAATGAAATGCTGGGCTCTTACTGCGAGCTTCATTCTTATTCATAGCTTGTGGAGCTATTTAGGGGCTTTGAGAGCCCCTTGTCGATACCTCTAATGACTTTGATCTTTGGTTTTTATAGGGTTCCGCAAGCTGTTGACAAAGGAAATTCGCACAGATGAAAGAATACGGGAGGCAAAAGCCTTACACACTTCTGAAATGCGTAGCTTTTAGTAGTACACCGTACATTTTATGCAGAGTTCATTATCTGCACCGTACTATAATGCATACAGGGAGTTGTACGCACCCATTTAGAGTATCTTCAGCGGGCTTTAAACTAATCCAAGGCCCTTGGCGGGAATGTCGCTGATTGGTCGTTTGCTGGACAACGAGACAGACCTCGTTCTAAATTTGGATAACACCTAAAAGGCACTAGAGTATGCACTGTATGTGATGGGAAACCTGGTCACCTAATTCTACATTACACCTGAAACCTGGCACTGTGCCTGACACCGAAAATTTAATACACCGAAAATGACATGTTTTACAGTATTCTCGTGATCAACACGTGGCTGGCGGGTCCGTGGCTCTCGATCGGCATACCATCGTCCAGCTAACGAGCTCAGGGAGCTGGCGGTGGTTGAAAAAGAAAAAAAAATTCACGGTTCGCGTGAGACTCGGCCAAAGGCCCAGTTTTCCGCATCCGCAGGAACGCCACCACCCTCTTGGATCAAGGTGGTTGAAAGCCGGATTTAAAACCAGTTGTGTTTTAGTGTAAAACTCTCGCCACTCCGGAGACATATTTTCCACACCTGTGTACTATTATTAATATTACCTTCCTATCATACCCTGGTTTCTCATCATTGTGTTGCTTTTGCCCGTAAAAGAGGCTGTTTCCCATGGCTTTGAGTAGTAGTTCGCATGCGCTGACTCCAAAACACGGGAATCTCAAAAATGCCGGCCACCTGTGAAGCTCAGTGAGCTTGGAGAGCTTTGGAGTACTGTAAAAGCCATATTTATGACGAAGTGCTAATTCTAACGAGTTAACGAGGAGAACTCTGTCGTTAAAATCGAAATCGTTATACAGAAATCGATACAATACTGTTGCTATTGAGCTTTGAGAATGAGTGAGAATCGTTACCTTTGGTACACGTAAACCAGTCAATTTTAGGAAATCGTTATAATATATGCCCCCCGTTAGAATAATGGCTTTTACAGTATCTCCTAAAAATTCGGAGAGGATATTAGAACACTTATCAGGGAGTAGAACCAAAGAGGGGAAGGTGCGCGCAGCGGAAATGTGCACAAGCTAAGTCCCACGGCAACAAAGAATGCCGACTGTTACCGGACGATGACGAGACCAGCCTCTTTGGTCCTACCCAACCTTGAGCCTTCCAAGGTGAAAGGCTGTTGGTTTGCACACTGGAGATGTGTTAGAGCTAGGTCTTACTCTTAGGCCGTTGAATGTTATCAGGGAGTCTCAAACTTTTCCGAGAGAATTTTAGAATGCACCTTACAAAAGCTTCTAAAGCCTGATTCATATTTCATGTCGCGTACGGGAAACACGTCGCGTCACGAAAAACAGTTGATCTGACTCAACTATTTCGCGTACGGGAAACCCATTGCGCGATGGGTTTCCCGTACGCGAAACGAAGTATGAATCGGCCTTTAGGCAATGAAGGGGGTGCGACTTACAGCCGAGCGTGACTTCCTCTGACTGGGTATGTGATTATTTTTGAAACGATATGGCTCAGTACGAAGTAGTGGTTGCGACTTCGGCGATAATTTGTAAGAAAGGGTTTGCTCCCCACACCGGAGCTCGCGCTATTCCGCCGACTTTACTTGACACTTGACTGACTCACGACTGCCATCCAGAGCACACGGGAAGTCCATCGAACCTTCGACTCGGCAAACCTGCAAGAAAGCACCACTCCCTGCTCAATACACAGTGTTTCGGGGAATTCACCCCTCATCAGTTGAGCTTGAGTAGGCTGAGGAAGATTGTGCCTGAAGAGCACCACTTATATAGTGCTCTCCAGGCACAAACATCACCAGGGACACAGACTTACAGAGACGCTCCGTTTCCAGCGCGACAAACACCTCGTGAACACCCGAGATAGCAGCGTGAGTCAGTGTCGCTCCTGGACGGTGAGACAGACGTCGAGGACCCTCGGTCATTCGCAACGCTGTCACCTCCAAACCAACTAGTCGCAAGCCCGCGCTGGGCACAACAGTACGAAGTAGTGGTTGCGACTTCGGCGATAATTTGTAAGAAAGGGTTTGCTCCCCACACCGGAGCTCGCGCTATTCCGCCGACTTTACTTGACACTTGACTGACTCACGACTGCCATCCAGAGCACACGGGAAGTCCATCGAACCTTGGCTCAGACCTGAAAATGTGGTGCCACTTATAATCCTGGAAATGCGGTATATTTACCACAGCTTTGTGATAAATGTGTCTTTACCCCTGCCCCTCTTACCTCTCTCTCCTTTTATCAAATCATTGCTACCCAACATATTTGGACAGAAATGTTCTCTTTGTTCAATGCTTTGGCCTATCCGTTCCGTCTTTCTCTCTCTCTCTCTCTCTCTCTCTCTCTCTCTCTCTCTCTCCTCTGCACTCTTCTAGATTCGTCGTTCTGGCACGCTAGCTGACGTCCAGGCGTTGCTTGATCCTCGTCTGAACTACGTATCTGGTTCCATTCGGCCCGGCATGGTCTCTGCTGGCTTGACGCGCAACGGTGGGGCCAGGGACCATGACGTGGCAGCTAAGCCCAAGTTTGATCGGCTGACTTCTATCGCTGCCTTCAACTCGGTATGTGTGTGTGTTGGTGTGTTGTTGTTGTTTCTAATCTTTATTCTCACGATGTTGTGTGTTGGTGTGTGTGTGTGTGGGGGGGGGGGGGGTGTTGTGGGTGGATTGATGTGTCTTGGTGTTTACTGATCCCAGTATCCTAGCTCAGACGTGTGCAGTACCAGTTACGGTCTTGTGATCGGGACTAAGAAATACCAATACATTGTTTAGCATACTTTCCATGTGACCGCGTTCTTTCTAAAACGTCTTCTATCCTGCTCTCTTTCTGTGTGTGTGTGTGTGTGTGTGTGTGTATGTACATCTCTCTCTCTCTCTCTCTCTCTCTCTCTCTCTCTCTCTCTCTCTCTCTCTCTCTCTCTCTCTCTCTCTCTCTCTCTCTCTCTCTCTCTCTCTCTCTCTCTCTCTTGATGTGTGCGTGTGTTTGTGTGACTAACTAACCATTCCTTGCTATCTAGAAATCTCGCCCGAACGAGCTCATGGGTGGTCTTCGCTACTTTGAGAGTCAGATCACGCCTTCAGATGGATCCAACGCCACCCCCAAGGCCAGCTTCGACTGGGGTGTTGTCAAGAAAGAGGCACTGGGAAGGTCGCTGCTCGCCATCTGCCGCAGCGTACGGCAGATCTTCGCTTCCGAGCCGCGTCTTCTTCGCCTGGCGTCGCCGACGTATATCCTTGGTGAGACACGCTTACATATACCAAGAGTACATACCGTAAAACGGGTGATTTTAGCGACATAAAAACCCTAGCGAATTTAGCGATCGACTCATTTTCGCTAAAGTTTCAAGTCGCTAATACGTTGAGACATTAGTAGTGCACTGGTGATCCGTGAGTAAAATCGCTGCAAATCGCTAAAATAAAACGTCGCTGACCGGCTGACAATGGGAAAACGCTAAAATTAATAGTCGCTAGAATCACCCGTTCTACAGTACCGTAATGTCGCGTATAAAACCAGGTGCTTACGGCCGTATAAGCCGGGGTTCAAACTACTGTAAAACGTGTGATTTTCGGTGTAACTTTAATTTCGGTGATTTCGGTAGAGAAATCGGGCACCTAAATTTGAGTAACACCTAAAAGTCACTAGAGTATGCACTGTATGTGAAGGAAACGCTGGTCACCTAACTCTAAATTACACCTGAAACCTGGCAGGTCCCTGGCACCGAAATTTTAATGCACGTAAAATTACATGTTTTACGGTATGCTTCTATTCAAAACATTCTTCTATGTCAACATCATCAGTCTGCACTGTGCAGTGCATACTGCCAGGCATTTACTTGCACGAATTTGCAGAGATCGGCTTCTATTCAAATTGTGCTTCTGTGTCACGGCCCGCTTCGAAAATTCGGCTTCTATTCGAGTCATGCTTTTATACGCGACTCTACAGTAACGCCCAGGAGTGCAACTGCCTGCACAGCCTCTATACAGAACTGCGACAGCAGATCTTCACATCACGTGACATAGTTCAAACGGTTACGCTGGCAAGCAGTGCAAAGCGACCACAAGAGAGTTGAACCCAAAGCGGGTTGTTGCGTACAACCCAGCATCCACCATGCACGGGGTGCGAATAGTGTGCACGGGTTCGGCACGTGATGTGACGTTCTGCCGTCGCAGTCCCCATAGCTGGAGTTGCACACTCTTGGGGTGGGGGGGGGGGGGGGGGTTATGTGCTCTTGCCGGTACTGCTAATCCTCTCCTTGCACATGCACTCACTCGTACCTCAGTTATCCGGACACCAAAGTCACGGACATATCGGTCTACCGGGCACTCTTTGGGCGAGTTTTAGTGGCAGTATTACCACCCCTTGTTACTTTCAGTGGAAATAGTGGCATCACATGCCTCATCTCTTTGTGCCCTCCAAGTGGGAAATGTTCGGAAATCGACTCGTGTCGTCAAACTTTCAACTCTTACAGTAAGAAATAAAAAGGACCAAGGAACTACAAGTTACGCTATAATGTCCACTAGCACCACGAGTTACTAAACAATCAGCTCATGCGATAACATTGCACGAACGTCAGTATCGTCGGTCAGTATCGTGGAATGTTATCGCATGAGCTGATTGTTTAGTAACTGGTGGTGTTAGTGGACATTATAGCATAACTTGCAGTTCCTTGGTCCTTTCTATTTCTTATAAATTAATCCTTGGCTCTCCATCCGAGTCCATTCTTACAGTAAGCAGAGTGTTTGTCGCCGTATTCTACTCATCGCCATGTCTCTGCCCGCTTGTTGTTGCTAGGTGATATCCATGGCAACTATCCCGACTTGGTCTCGTTTGAAAAGGCGCTGTGGCGGACAGGGCCTCTCCTGGCACCGTGCCAGTTTCTGTTTCTCGGTGACTACGTGGACCGAGGCGATCATGGCGTTGAGGTTAGTACCACGGCCTCGACCAGTCCGAATATCCGCACAGTATGAACACTATCCGATTTAGGTAAAACAATTTTTTTTAACTGTGAGATGATGGCCGTGAATGAGTGTGGACTCTAAGTTGCAACACAGCTTTTCTCTCTCTCTCTCTCTCTCTCTCTCTCTCTCTCTCTCTCTCTTTACTGTCTCTTTACTGTCCTAAATTTGAGATGTATTCACCACTTGACCTTGCTCTCCCGTTGCTGTTACTGTTGCTGTCGTCAGGTGGTGGCCTATCTCTTTTCCCAGAAGCTGCTTGCACCGGACAAGATGTTCTTGATTCGTGGCAATCACGAGATTCGTGCCATACAGGAGATGCACACGTTCAAAACGTAGGTCACCACGGACCCCTGGCCGGTCACTAGCCATACTAGTACATCTCCTGCTTGTATGCACATTTTGTTTGTAATACAGGCCTAGCGACTGGCAGACATACACCAGTACATAGCCAAGCCACACAACACAGGAGCAAGACATGATACTGATGCTAACGTTTCGACCAGACAGAGACAGAGGGACAAAGAGAGAGAAACAAACACACGCACAGAGACATAGGGACAAAGAGAGAGAGACACACACACACGCACGCACAGAGAAGTATATACATCTGTAATTGTGATCTGTGTCTGTGTGCTGGCCAGGACACAAACAAATGCGACATCCCACTGCACTCTCGAACAGACATAGTATCTGCCAGAAATGCAGCAGAGAATGTGGCCTCTTCTCCTAATGAGGAGCATGGCCTCTACCTTTTCAAGATGTAAGAAATGATGTTGTCTGTCTTGCATGCTCTTTCCCGCAGGGAGTGCTGTCAGAAGTTTGGTGAGCATCTGGGGGAAGAGATTTGGGAGATGATGAACAGTGTCTTTGACGTACTGCCGCTCGCTGCTGTTGTTGATGATCAGGTAGGTGTGTGTGTGTGTGTGTGTGTGTGTGTGTGTGTGTGTGTGTGTGTGTGTGAGGGGGGGGGGGGGGGGGGGGTGCTTAGGTGTGTGTTGCTTTCCTGGGTATGCATAATGGCATTCTTGTTCCCTTATCTCTCTCTCTCTCTCTCCCCTTACCTTTGGAAACACTGCACGTTTTTCGCTGTGTTCAATCGGGCCATTCACAGAGCCACATGAATTTCAGACCTACGAATTGATTGCTTGTCCTTTTCCGCTGTATTTTTTCTTTCCCTTCTCCGACTATAGATTTTCTGTGTTCACGGCGGTATTCCAATGCCTGTTCATGGTAATGGACTGTTATCAGTCATTGACAGCATCCCTGTTGAACTGCATGAACCAGAGGAGCAGAGTCAGCTAGCCTGGGAGCTCATGTGGAGTGACCCTGTCAGGTGAAGACAAAGAGTAGGGTGGTGGTGGATGGGTGTGTGTGTGTGTATGGGAGTGTGCAGTGCTCGTGGTTGCTAGGTTTGTCTGCTTTGTTTTTGCAACACTGGGGATACAGGCATTTCTGCGGCACTGTGTATCCAAGGTCTGATATCTGGTATAGGAATCGCCTATGCAGGGTCCTAGAAAATAGCACTATGTGGGCAGAACATATTCTTTGGACCTAGACGAAATTATTCATGGGCTTAGTTTTCTACTCATACAGTATGGTATTGTTCCGGCGTATAAGCCACACTTTGAACACTCAAAATTCACCCAAAGGGGGGGGGGGGGGGGTTGCGGCTTATGCATGTACTCCGATGGTCAAATTAACGGTTATAAATAAAATAGGGTAGATGTTTGTATTTCGTGGCAAAAAATGGGGGGGGGGCTTTATACTCCGGAAAATACGGTATTTCATTTCCCATAATACTGTCATGGACATTAAAACCCATCGAGAAGTCAAGTGGCCTCGGGACGCTGGCCTTGCAGCCGTGAGCACTGCTGTTCCGTTTTTGCAGCGAGCACGTGAACTAAGTACGGCGTGTGTACGTGCTGCGGTTGTGTTGTTGTGCCCACTGCAGATCTACCGACCTGTCTGCAGAGGAAGAATCAGAGCTAGCCAAGGGCGGTGGCTTTGCTCCTAACCATCAGAGAATGACAGCACACGTCTTCAGGTAAGTTTACTGCTGTCTAGTCTCTGCATGCATAGCGTTTGCGTTTCCTGAAGGTTGTCATCCTCTCATTGAATTTGAGGCGAGTTTTACTGAAAGTATTTCTAAGTTTTTTTTTGCTGGGCACCAAGGTGCCGGCACGTGATTCGTAACATTTCTACCCTTCAGTTGCACACACACACACACACACACACACACACACACACACACACACACATAAATCCTGTGCAGGATAGGTTTTCGGAGTGCCTGGATGGCCCTCCGGTGTGGAGTAGAGAGGACAGTTTTCAGTGCATTGATTGAAGTACTGTATGGACAAGTTTCATTTGGAATGAACTTTCGCTATATTCGCTAGGGGGCACGAAATAACTAAACTTTGTACCAAGCTAAAGATTTTTCTGACTTTCGGGGTGACAGACCTCGCCCAAAAACCAAATTTCGAACGTATCGAACCTGCTGGTGGAGTGATCTAACGAAAATTTGTACTTATACAGTAGGCCTAAATTTTTGTTGATTTGCTTTTTGTGCCTTTTTATAATTCCGCTCAGTGCGGATGCGTTGGAAGATTTCCTGCGTCGCAATCAGCTCTCCTATGTCATACGGGCACACGAAGTCAAGCAAGCCGGTTTCCAGGTAGGGTGCCGTCGGTGATCTGTCTGTGTGTGTGTGTGTACGTGTGTGCATGTGTTTGTGTGCATGTGTTTGTGTGCCGCTATGTGCGTCGGCTTTCACGGGCCTTCACGCTGCTCGGTGTGTGTGTGTGTGTGTGTGTGTGTGTTGGTTTCTTGGCTGGCGTGCCGCTGATTCCACTCAGTGCATCATCACTAAAGTTTGTACCAAGCTAAAGATTTTTTTCTGACGTTCGGGGTGACAGACCTCGACTAAAAACGAGAAAAAAATTCTTCAATCTTGTCGCCATCAATAATTTATCCATCTTTGTCATGGGACTACCTATTACTAAATTTGTGCAGAAAGTGATCATGGCATGTGGACAGTGGAATCAACATGGCCGACGTCATGTGACCCATAGATACGGGGGTTGAGACTAACAAGGCTGTCCTGTGTGGTCATGTGACAGGTGTGAAACCACTCTGTAGTCCACTCACTAGTCCACTCACTGGTGTCAACATCATTGGCAACTTTACAACTTTTATTTGGCCGCCTGTGTTTCTCATGTTCCTTCCTCCATCGTCTTTAGTGCTTGACTTCCTTTATCATCATGCTTCTGTTGTCGTTGCTCTTGTGGTGGTGGTGATGGTGGTGTTGTTCTTGTCATTGTTTTTGTGGGGGTGGTGGTGATGGTGATGGTCATTGTGTGCTGGTGGTGGTGGTGGTGATGGTGATGGTCATTGTGTGCTGGTGGTGGTGCTGTCATTCTTGTTCTTGTGGTGGTGGTGTTGTTGTTCTTGTGGTGTTGTTTTTGTCGTTGTTTTTGTGGAAGTGGTGGTAATGGTCATTGTGTGCTGGTGATGGTCATTGTGTGTTGGTGGTGGTGCTGTTCGTCTTGTTCTTGTGGTGGTGTTGTGCTGATCATCGTCGTTGTGTCCAGGTTCAACAGAAAGGACGCCTCCTGACGGTCTTCTCCTCCAGCCACTACTGCGGCGGCGTCAACGAGGCCGCTTGCATTCTCGCCGACCGCCACAAGCTGCGCATGATCCGCCTCGACTCCAGCTAGTGGGCCAGTGAGTCAGCGCGAGGCCTTGAGCCGCTGGCAGCATCCTTGCTAGCGCCTGACACTACCGGGAGCCGCACGACCCACCGGCCAGGTTGGTCAGTGGCACTTTCTGGGTATGAACGCCGTTCGTTCGTTGCTCGCTTTTGCGTGTTCTCGTGCGTGCCGGGCAAGATGTACCACGCGATCATCCGCCGTTGGGTGCAGTCTATTGCTGGTACTGCTCCGTGTGGCTGTCGGTGTGTGTCGTTGTCAGGCATACTCGTCACCCGTCATTTCTGGTCTCATCATTGTGTCATGAGGCATAGTCGTGACCTCTTGTCGTGATGTACCGTCATGACTCATCATTGTGTTGTGAGTCATAGCCGTGACTCATCATTGTGTCGTGAGGCACACACGCACGCACGCTCTCTTGCACCGTTGTTTTACGCATCTCCTTGTGTCTCAGCCGTGACTATTGCGTGCAACTAACTATCTAACCCATCCAATTGACCGTTTCAGCGTGCCTGCACGTCAGGTACAGTCAATATGCCTGAACACTCGCGCACACAGCACTCGTGCACACAGCTCTTATCTCCATATCCTACCACCAGTCTCAGACCTAGAGAAATGAATATTTATCCTCTCTTTTTTCTTCTTCTTTTTTTACGACTTCTGACTAGATCTATCCTCCCGGTAAAAAAACCCGTTGCGTATATCTACAATGTCGTTTCAGTGAGTTGATAGTTTGACTGGCGTTTATAGCGATCTTTTACGTGTTGTATCCGCGCACCGAGTACCACATCCTACATTGTTCCATTAGAAACTCATTGCCACCAGGGCGGAGTCATCCCTCCTTGACTTTGTTTCTAGATATCGAAGCAATTTCGCCCCTGGCCGGTACCTGTCCTGGCGTGTGCAAGCTAAGCTCCGGCCGCACGCTGGCCAGCTTGCTGTGCCTGTGTGCGTGCTCGCATGCTGCACACTGCCGTGCATTGTAATAACCCGCAGTGGGCTAGTGATGACGCAGCGTGTCGCAACAATCTCATGGCTTGGACTAGCCCCGGCTCTGGAAACCGTACCGACACAATGGCTGGGCGCTCCTAATGTACCCGATATCCGGAACTTTTCTCTGAACTTCCTTCCAGCAATCTCTGAAACTGCAGCCTGCTTTAGCTCTTTGCGTGCTGCTTGGTTTCGCTTCTTGTACTCTTTTCTTCTCTTTCAGTGTCCGACTTTCCTTCAGGCTGTTGTGAAGGTCTGCAGCTCTGTGCGTTTCGTTCCGCCTTTCTGCATTGTGCGCTGTACACACTGCTGGTACTTTTCTCTTTCCTTCTCCTCCTTCTTCAGCTTCTCTGTTCTTTGCTGGTGTTTTTACCTCTTTTGAGATTGTGTTTGAGTGAGTTGATTGAAATCACTGGAAATGATTCTACTGAGAAATAATGAAAGATATAAGCCTGCCGAAGCATGAAATCAAGAGTTCCTAACCCCCAAGAGTGGGGGTTATGAACTCTTGATGGAATGTGCAGCTGTCATGGCTGACTGCTAGTGAATGGAGCCCGGGCCCTATGCATACAGTGGAGCCGCGCACCCAAGGATGTTGTTTCCAAGGGGTTACCATAGGACGTTCTTACTTTCTCAGCAATCTGGCAGTATTTGTATGGCACGTTCTTTTAAAAAAATCATGCTGGATCATTATGTATCTCAAATGGTGCCAGAACACATACTGCAGTTCTTTCAAAACTTGAGGTCGTTGTGTTCTTAGCACTTCCGGCTGGACGCTCTTGGGCTCCATGTTCTTCTGTGCGCGACTCTACATCGTACTGCACCTGTATTGACGTGTAGGGCATAGCGACCCGGGTGTAGTACAGTACATGACGTATTGTACAACATTCAGACCTCGCTTAACCGCACACATCAGTTTTCCACAAAAGATATCGGATAGGCGAGGGAACAGGATAGTCGAATACCATAGTGACGCGCATTTTTAAAAGCACATGTGCCTATATCCGTGCATGAGCGCACCCTCACAGATACATGCATGATTGTAGTAGTAATTTCTGTTGGGCTTGCTGTTTGTACAAAAGGTGGAAAAGCAAGTAAGAACACAGCCTAAAGTTAAGAACGGCGGTGTTGGTTTTCTGGCAACTTGTAGGTACAGTACATATGATGCAGTACTGCAGTACGTATTGTTTCTAAGAACGTGCTACAGCATAAGAACGCGATCAGGCTAACCCCTTGGAAACAATGTTCTTGGGCGCGCGACTCTACTGTAGCTCCTCTCGCTCACACCCACCCACAAACAAATATTTCGTTGGCCATTGAGCGGCCATCTACTAAATAACATAATTATACGATTTTTGATGAAAACAAAATTTGAAAATGCAGCACCTGTAGCACTACAGTCCATTCATCGGAAACTGGCCCGCTGGCTTTTGAAAGTCGGATTTGGGCCGAATTGAGAATCAAAAACCCACTTTAAATCTCAAAAATCTGGGTTTTGGATCTGCTTCTCCATACATTTTGCCATGGCATACCTGTCCTAATTTTGTAAAACCTGGCTGAATTTCTATTTCCCTGTTCTTGGACTTTTCTGGCCTCAAATGTGGCAAGGAGTAATTGCACGGGTCACACAATGCAGGATGTACTGTTGTTTTCACGATATCTACAACTATGTGACAGAGACACCAAAAAGTTAGGGTGCCAGTTTCCAATGAATGGACTGTAGAAATTCCTGGCACATTAAATTATTAATGATGGGCGAGTATAAAACCAATAAATACGAAACAGCGGAATGCTTCGAGACCTGACGTATTCCGATGTCAAAAGAAACGATATCAAAACATGTGTCCACGAGGCCGTTTCTATTCCGAAGGGAAAGCACCTCGGGAGTTGTGTGCGGGACAGTCACTGAGTATCTACAAATAAAACGGAAGATAATGGAAACGAGGCCAATGAGGCAGCATGGAGATGTACAGATACGAGTGTGTGCATGCGCGAGGATCTTACGAGCGTGTGTGTGTGTGTGTGTGTGTGCATGGACCTCGTCTGCCGTATCGTTACACTACAGTAGCTTCTGCTGTTGGTGTTATTGGCGTGTGTGTGTGGGGGGGGGGGGGGGGGGGGGGGGGGGAGCATCTCACAAAGGTACGTATGTACATCGCAGCAGACATGAAACAAAGAAACGGACTGTGAAGACGGGGAAAATAATATCCTATTCTTAGTACACAGCAATCGGGTTACATGCATACGGCCAGCAACACCACCGACATGATGGTGATTGACAGGACGCGAACATAACAACAAGAACAACGACAGCAATCATGGAGGCCAGCTCCCACAGATTTTACACACACAGACACACACACACACAAGACAGAACGGAGGACGAGGGAAAGGGATAAGAGAGGGGAGTGCACGCTCCGGCGTCCATCGTCGCACGGAAACATCGTGCTGTGGCGCACATGCAGACCATGCACATCCAGTGACGGTGAGAGAGAGTGCTGTGAATACGCTGCACACTCCAGTAGCGCAGTACAACCATACTGCAATGTTGATAACTAAGTGCAGCAAGCACCCGCAAGTAGCCAAGCACCAACATACTGCAATGGCGATGACAACGCCACGTGCAGCAAGTATCCGCTTTATCGCTGGTTATACATGTAGTCTGCCTCACCATTGGTTGTAGTTGCGCTCCTGTCGCCGTGACAACGACGAGATGCCGGAGTAGATGAAGATGATGATGCAGGCGGCGAGTAATCTGGCTCTCATCTCCTGCGCGTGCGCCAACTTCGGCTCCGGGCGCTGACGGCGATTGCGTGTCCATGGCGACGACGGGCCGCTTCTGTTGTAGCCGTCGGGCCCGTAGTGCTGCCTGTACCACTCGTCAAAGTTGAACTGGGTGCGTTCGCGGTAGTAGCGCTGTCGTATGTGCGGCGGCATCGTGCCACCGGGGCGCGTGAACGGGTTAAACGGGTCGGCACCGCCGTGTTGCTGGTTGGCATGGTGACGACGCCAGTGCTGCTCCGAGGTGCTCGCGTGCGACGTGGCCCCGCCTGGCCGCGCGCCGCCACTGAAGCCGCTTTTCATGTCGTAGTCGCGCCTCTTGGACACATTGCTCAGCACTCCGTACGCCTCCGAGATCTCCTGGAACTTCATCGTGGCCGTCTTGCTGCCGCCGTGCTTGTCCGGGTGCCACTTCTTCGACAGGTCGTAGAACGCTGTCTTGATTTCGCCCGGCTTGGCCGCCCGTGTCACGCCCAGGGTTTCGTAGTGCGTCCTACACAGTCTGGCGGACATGCTGAAGTAACGCGCACAGCCGCCGCCATCGCCGCCGCCGCCGAAGACAGCATCAGGGCCGACGCGAAACGCGACCCGATGCAGTCGGCGGGCACTGCTGCCCACGGGACGATCGCAGCTGCGGAGTACAGCGTCCGTCAGGGAGGATCTGCCACGAGGCAACATAGCATGTCTTCACGGCGTTGAAGCTACAACGACTGTACGCACACAGGTTTGCACTAACATGGGTAAATCAACATAGACGGTGCTAGCAGCACACCAACAGAAACAGACCCCCGGGAAGAGTGGATGAATCGAGGAGGAACTGTGTGCAATTCCAATTTTTTTTGTCCACTTTCTCAAGAATTCAGGCTCTCTCGCCTCACATTGATCCGACAGACACTGATTCTAAGTGAGCAGTTCACACGCCAATACTCACTACCACTAGGGACTGATGAATGCAACACAAAGAACAAACTAACTCTAGAATAAAGGTGAATACACAGGTAAAGACGACACCGTAACTTCTTTCCTCCCCAGGCAAATTTCACTTTGCTTGCTGAGTGGATATCTGATTTTCTGATCTGGCGGCTCAGGCTTGTGCAGTTGTCTTGGTTACTGTGGCGAATGACGTCATGTTGGAATACTTATTTGAATATGTCACGTGCACAGTTTTGAGTCCTAAATCTTGTCTTGGGCGACGACGATGACGACGCCGATCGAGGAAAGCAAAGACTTCAGGTAACTGGTTACAGCTGTAGAGAAGTCTACCATGTTTGTTACAGCAGGTGCATTGTTTTTGCTTCTGTCGTTGCTAGAACTAACTGTTTACTTGCTACGGTCCAGTGGCTGTGCATGATGTTACCATCCCATTCTCAAGTTTGGGGTATGAGGAGCTTTTCTTACCGGTCTCGTTGGACAACCGGTCCTGACTTCAGAAGTTTTGCTTGGCCTCTGAAAATGATGTCCCGACCAAGCTGAAGATGGGAGGTCAGCGTAAAGTAAAGAAGGTACGATCTTGACCTGGCATGCACCTGTGTAGACTAAAAATGCAGCCATGAGTATTGTACAGGTGGATGGCTGTCATCACGTGTCCTTCGCAGTTTTGGCCTCTGTTGCCTGATGATACTCTTGCATGGTTACAGCCAGGAAAATGTACATGTAGATGGTGCAGGAGGGGGGGGGGGGGGGGGACAGGGGAAACAAACAGGGAACCCATTTCTCCAGTTTCCAATTTTGCTTTGCCACTCGAGTACGGGATCCCCCTGGGAGCAGCGTGCACCCGGGTTGATCGATTTACGGCCGCTTTTTCGTTGTGAGTTGTGAGCTGACAAAAATCGAAAACTGAGCAGGGTTTGAGCACCGTGACAAATTCCCGGCGGCCGCCAACATCCAGAATAACCCAGCGGCAGATGCAGGGCCTCAAGGTAGGGCAGGAATATACATGTGCATCTGACAAACACTGTCACACTGAAACATCTAGTACTGTAAAGTACCGGTGATCCGCCCCCACTCTAACCCCCCCCCCCCCCCCCTCCCCTACGCATGTACTGCTCTGCGAGTGCAGGATGAAATTGTGCACAATCTAGCATGCTAGCGCCCGTCCGTAGATATCAAACTTTTTTCACCAAACAAATTGTTTTAGTTTAGACCCAACCCCGCCCTCCCTCCCCTCAGAAAGTAAAACAATGTTGACATGCATGCATTCATAATTATACAAAAAAAGTCGCAAGTGTGTCACTGCTCCTATGGCCATGTACATTTGCATGCATCAGTGTTTTATGAAACGAAATTGGTCGACCCCCTCCCACCCCATAACGGAATTATTTCGTTTTGCAAACACTTCGGGGTTGGACTTGTCATGTACTCGTTGTACCGTACAGAGTGACCATGGTGACTTGTACACGTTTTGAAGAATGCAACAGATTTTTCTCAAAGATGTGCTCTGTTTCTGGAGTACCGTTTGGTTGGCATGACACTGCCCTATGTGCACCAGCTGTTCGATCCTGTTCTAGATCGTACCAACTAAACACACCCTTGGAGCTGTGAATGGCTAGAAAGCATAATCTCTTTTGTAACTTGATTTGCGACGGGTAACCCGTTGCGGACACTATTGTCGGAAGAAAAATAGGCAGAATATCTTCTCTTCGTGCACGATGCAGCAGTAAATCAGATTTGTTCACCGAGCACTAGGGGTGAAAGTTTGCCCTGAGATCCCGAGTTCGAGTACTCTGATTTTGTCCGATCGAATATTCGAGTATTCTTCATCTCCTAAAAAAATGCACACCAAGGGCCTTAAACATCATAATGATACAACCCTGATTGAACCGATTAGCAGTAGTTTTCTCTCGTGAATCGATTGTTGGGTCATTTGGGCTCTCTCTACTCGTGTACAAATGTTCACCGCAAAGTCTGCGCATCAATATCTACTGACTGCTGCTCTGAAACCGCAGGTCTCTGGTGTAAATGCAAGTACCATGTATAAACGAGTACTCTAATTTCAGAAATTTTCGGTGCTCAATATTTTCGGTATGAGGGCAAAAGGCCACGTTAGGTGAACAGAAATTTTCGGTACAGAGAAGCAGTACCCTGTTGGTTTACGTGTGTTAGTGTTTTTTCGGTGTATTGAAATTTTAGGTATGAAACAGATGCACCGAAAGTACCGAAAATAAAAGTACACCGAAAATTTGTGAAATTTACAGTACTCTGGTTTATTCCGAGTACGATTATTTTTGAAAAAAACCAGCGAGTACTCTAGTATTCGGTATAATTTTTTCACCCCTACCGAGCACCCTCCCTAATGCAGCAGAAGTTTTGTACCACAAATGGTGCCGGGTTATAAAGGGACCACTCCATCCCTGTATCCCTGATAATGACCTGGGTGAAAACTTGGAAACAATCGTTGTGCGTGGTGCAGCCGAGGACTGTTCGTGTGTTGTGGATTGGAGGTGCAGTGAACAGATGACAACGCTACAATGGAACTTCAAAGCTCTGCTGGAAAAAAACGTTAGATGTACATGTACAGTCAGTCAGTATCGCCTATAGCGTTGGTGTTTGATTTTGAGCATTTTTATCACTATAAGCGATACTGCATGCAATGTATGCGAGTGGGGTGTCAAACGACTCAGCGCGCCTTGTACATATGCACTGCATAGGTGGCTACAGCTCCTGACACACAACATCAGCATTTCCTCATGATGGAGGCATGTTCGGTCAACGTGTACAAGCAGAACTCACCAAACAACACTGGATAAGTTCTTCACGAAGAGGTAACAGTGACCACTAACACCCTGTTCTCCTCTGACACCACTTGATTTTACATCAATCACTATAACCAATGCAAAAATAATGTAATAAAGGTTTTTTGAAACATGAATTTGATCACTATAGGCGATATATTACTACTGTAAATATACAAAATTTCGGCGCTGCAAAATTTCGGCACTTCACGATTTTTGACATTTCGGCGGCGATTTATTTTCGGCGTGGGGTAGAGAGCATGGTATAGTGCGACAGGTGCTGTGAAAAATTTCATCGGCGTTTTAATTTAGGCGTTTTGGGTCGGTGCCGAATATAGCCGAAATTAAATAGCTGCCGAAAATTTGTATATTTACAGTATAGACGATTATTACTATACGCGATAACTGTGTATAGTCAGACCTCGCTTAACCGCACACATCTGTTTTCCACAAAAATATCCGGATAGGCGAGGGGACCGGATAACTGACGCACATACTGTATATGCATGTGGCATGTCAAAAGCAGTGACATCGTACATACATGTAGACGGGTCCTATGCAGTACAGCTAGCGTGCACAGTATGAAAAACAAGCGAGAAAAAATGACAAGTGCATGCAACTGAGTGCTGTCGGCATGCACCCAGCAGGTCAAGGACCTCATTTGCTTGTACAACTCCCTGATTCTAGCTTCTGCAAGCCACATGCAACCGGATACGACGAAGCTTTTTGTACACATTTTAACCAGTTTGTACACAAAATCATGCACCGGTATGCGGATCGCGAGGTCCGGTTATGTTGTATGCATAACATATGCTGCACATCGGTAACCAGCGGTTTTCTTCCGGATGGCGAGGGATCCGGATAAGCGAGGTCTGAGTGTATACTTAGTTATGGCAAATGAAAATGAATTTGAGAAATTGATCACTATATCCGGTATATTACTATAGCCACCAATCTTATAGGCGATACTGACTGTACATGTATGTTAGAAGAGAGTGGACAACAAAGGGAGTGTGTCGTGTACAGTCAGACCTCGCTTATCCGCTCCTCTTTTGTCCGGTTCCCTCGCCATCCGGAAGAAAATCGTTGGTTACCGATTTACAGCAGATACCATGCATACATACAATATATGTGTTCGATTATCCGGTTCCCTCGCCTATCCGGATATTTTTTTATGGAAAACGGATGTGTGCGGTTATGCGAGATCTGACTGTACATATACATAATTATACATGTGGGCGCTGAAGGAGCTGTGCTGTTTGCCGCCTCAGTTCTACAGATGGTCCACACCCTGACTCTGAGTGACCATCCTCAAGTTGACAGGGCAGGAAGCATGTCAGTTACAAGCTGTCAAAGTAAAATGCAGCTGTGCTGCACACTAGTGACTAGGGCGACACAGTGAGTGACGTGTTTTATTGAACGCACAAACCAATGACGACAATGATGATATGAATGCAGGCCGAAGAGCAAAGAATTCTAAAAGAGAGTGAAATCTGTCTATGACATGCCCTCAAGGGACCTTCAAAACGTGGTCTCTGTTAACAGGTGGTCTCTGTATCCAGGGTCATTTGACTGAAGATAGCATCCGGCCTCGGTCCTGGGCCTTATACCGTAAAGCCTGTGTATAGGCCCCGGGCGTGTAGAATAGCAGCCTCGATTTCCAGGGCGTATACAAGGGCACGGGCGTTATTAAGGAACCGGGCGTATACTTGGAATAGGGATAGCAGTAAGTATTGGGTATCGGTACCTGTACATGTACGGGTGTTGGCGGCATACCTGGGCGTATACATGGGCATGGGCGCTATTTTGAAACAAAAGTCTTGACTTCCCCTGACTGGGCGTGTACACGGAGGGTGGGCGTAATTTCGAGTGGGTGTATACAGGGGCTTTTACGGTATTAGCGTGGTCGCCATGACCGGTTGTACGGTTTTACTGTATTGTTTGCATGCAGGTGCGGTACTGGCCAAGCCCATTGGCCAAGCCCATACACAGTGCTGGCAGCTAACGGATGTTATCATGTCAGTCAGTGGTTGATACTAGTACACTAATATTGTTAATTTTTAGTATTTACAGTATTTGTAGAAAGGAAAAAGGACATTATGGAAACGAGTTAAGAGTAACTCTCCACCACTGTAACTAGATGCTCTAATTATGCAGTCAGAAAGTGCAACAACTAGGCACAAAACTGACAGAGCACTGAGACATTCGACGTCCTGACACCTAGCTTCAACACATCTCCGTAGCGCTAACCGACAGCCTTCCAACTCGGAAGGTTCAAGGTTATGGAGAGACCATAGAGGGGAAGAGGGGAGATGTGTTGAAGGTAGGTGTCAGGACATCAAATGTCTCAGTACTCTGTCAGTGTTGTGCTTAGTCGTTTCACTTTCTGACTGTATAATTATAGTATCTAGATACAGTGGTGGAGAGTTACTCTTAACTCATTTCCATATGTCCTTTTTCCTTTCTACATTTATTATCGGCTCAATGCCCGAGTTTCGAATTTATTGTATTTCAAGGATTACCCAAAAGCTCAAGTCTAGGCCTGTCCAGGGTATCTCCTATTCAGAAAAATGTCATAATTTGGGGAAAGAGCGTAAGGACAAAGAAAGAAAACAAAGAAAAGAAGCAGACACAGCATGCTGGCATGTCACATGATGTACATGTACGTGTACGTGTACATGTACTATTGTGGGTGTATGCATGATTGCATGTACAGTAAAACCTGGTGTAAGCGACCTCTGAGTTTAGCGACCACCTGCTCTTAATGACCGTTTTCCCATGCACCGACAGTTCTACACAGACACTGTGGGACCTGGTTCTAAAGGCCACCTGGCTTTAACGACCGCTTTTGCTTGCACCGTGGGGTGGTCGCTTAAACCAGGTTTCATTGTACAGCAAAACCTGTGTTTACAGGACTAGACCCTGTATACCAAGCGGAATCCTGTGTTGACCAGACATGTACATGTGCGTGACTGTAGTTGTATACGTAAGATAGTAGGGACCTTTCGCATTTGCTACGAATCGAATGCGAAACGAAAGTTTGATTCGGTTCGTAATCGTTTCGTTGAAAACAGATTCAGTTTTCGCAAGTCGTCATGCAAATGTGCATGGCAACTACGTAGCTTGGCGTACGGGTGTTTACACGCACATGTGCATGGATCATGGAATTAAGGGAAAATGTGTACCTGGCAAAACATGTGTAGCTGGCCAAATAAATGTGTACCTGACGGATTCGGAGCGCGCCACGAATGAAGAGGCTTCCATTCGTGAAAACGAGCTCTCCGCAGGGACTCTGACGCATCCTCGAACCCAGGTGACGAATCAGCATTCGTTTCGTATCCGTACGCGTGGTGCGAAAGGTCCCTAGTGTGACACATGGCACAGATGCAGAGTGCATGTACTACCCTCTACCCCAGTTAGTGTGTCCGCATTTGCCAGGCTGAGATCCGAGTGCAACACGGTCAGTACTCGGGACCCGCCGGAAGCAGCCAGTTTAGATTGGTCCATCCTGTCCTACTACTAGGATGAGTTTGCTCCCACACTGGAGCTCATGCTATTCCGGTCTGCCGACTTGACTTGACACTTGACTGACTCACGACTGCCATCCACAGCACACGAGAAGTCCATCGAACCTTCGACTCGGAATAGCGCGAGCTCCAGCGTGGGAGCAAACTCATTCCTCGGAAAAAATCATCGCCGAAGTCGCAACCACTATTTCATCCTGTCCTAGCCTAATATGGATGCAGCTAATGGGGTCGTTTTCGGCGCTTGTGCCAGTGGTTGTGACTTATCCACTCACCCCCACCGTTAGGCGCTGCATCTGCCGCTAGGGTTTATCGGGGGTTAGCGGCCGTCGTGAGTTCCCTTCGGGAACGGACACGATAATTTACTCTTTTTTTAGCCTATTCTTTAACACAGTTTGCGTATGATATAGTGGGTATACATAACCTCCTCAGTGGCAAACACGACCGTGTTGGTTGCCAACAAGTTGATCCGGGGAGAACCTGACCAACCGGACCGGTTTCGGCGGGGCCTGGTACTGTAGGCGCAGGAGAGTGTCTCCGCTTTTCGCATTTCACAGATGGCCGCATTTTCCAGTGTCCGCGCATACTAAAATCATAAATGTACACAAAATCTGTCCTCGCCGCTTTGCAGGTGTCCGTTTTCTCGGATGTCGACAAGGACAGGTTTGACTGTATATGGGCAGTATTTTTTCCTGACTCCAATCTCTTCTCGAATTTTTAAAAGTCGACTCGGCGTTCCGGGCATTTGTTTTGGATAGATTTCTCAATAATGTGTTTGGAAGAATGATATTGCACGTACATGTAGATGTAGATGTGTGTAGAGGGAAACACACTGTACTCAGCAGTTTTCGGGTTTTATTTCTTGAAGTAAATAGTTGACAGTCCGTGTGTTTTAGGACTGTGTTTTGATATAATTAAAATCTTTCTTTCCTATTCTGCAGTTATATTATGCGTATTGGCACCTCATTGACCCCGCTCGTTCCTCATTCCATTTTATAGCGAAGACTAGCCAAGTTTGCTCGGCGATGTCAACGTGAGAAAGCCTGATAGTGATAGCAATACACTGTGCCATGTCTTGATTTGTATGATGTATTGATTGTACATGGTCATGTACATGTAGTAGATCCATGGTAGATGTATAGGCACTGACTCACTGACTGTATACAGTCGTCCCTCTCTAATCCGGCACCTTTTGCAACGGCATTTTCTGCCGGATAAACAAGGGTGCTGGATTATCAAATCCTGCCCTCCAACCCGGCCCACCTGTTAACGTACATGTTTGTGTCGTACGTCAAAACGTAGGGATTTTCTGTGTCAATCCAAGTACATGTACTTCGTGGAATGCATATCTATAAGATACACTTGGGAATACGAGTGCATAGGATATTCCCAAGTGTATGTTACATGTGTTGTGTATGTTACAATGCTCCCTGACGGTATACGGTGTACAACTGCTGGATTAGAAAATCGAATTGTGTACAGTTTGAGTGATTTGCTGCCCAGCAGAAAATCGCTGCTGGAGGCGGAATTCAAGTGCCGGATTAAAGCATAGAAAATGAACTGAAAAAATCCGTTTTGCCAGAAAGTGTGCTGGTTTGCAAGGGTGCTGGATAAACAAGTGCCGGATTAGAGAGGGACGACTGTATACCGTATTAGTACAGCCGGCTCCACTTATAACGAACTCGCCTTATAGCGAATTCCGCGGCATACCGAAGCATTGTTCGTGTGCCTATCTAAATGAATTGAACCCATACAAAATAACCCTTGGACTTTGTAGGGAACAGATCATTCGCCCTTTATCCTATGGGGCCACATGTAAACCAAAATGCACTGATCAGGGAGTCGTATACAGTCAGACCTCGCTGATCCGGTCCTCTTTTATCCGGATCCCTCGCCATCCGGAAGAAAATCGTTGGTTACCGATTTACGGCATATGCCATGCATACGTACAGTATGTGTGTTCGATTATCCGGTTCCCTCGTCTATCCGGACATTTTGTGAAAAACGGACGTGTGCGGTTAAACGAGGTCTGACTGTATACGACTCCCTGGCACTGATACTTCACCATCATGAGCTTAAAAAGTCATGATAAACTAACGTTGGTTGCAATGATTATGCTTGTGTGTACCCTGTATGTGCATTTCTGTTATGAAGAACTTCTGCTCTAGCCTAAAGAACTAATTCTCCTGCACAATGCCAATGGTGTTCCATAAGGAGTTGACTGTACTCTAGCATGCAATGTAACTACTTGCTGTTGTACCCGTGTTCCGGCCCGGCCTGTAGTGAAACTAACTAAGAGCTGCGATTTGTTTCGGGTTTTTTTATAGCAGATGCTGTAATGTCCCAGATTTACCGCCACGATCTTCTGATACGAGTCGAGTTGGGACAAACGATTTTACACTCTCGACAGTCATGTCTTGTACTAAGTTGTAGTGTGCAGGAACAATGGTCACTGCTGTCTGCATGTGCCATGGCATGGTCATGGAGCACCATCAATACAACACGCGCACTGTGCTGTGTTTTGCGCGTGTCGATCGCATGGCCGTGCCCATGCCAGGATCGACCAGGTGCGGACGTAGATTCTACGACTCGGGAGTTTACACTTACAGAATACAGGGCCCTGGAGCTGTGCAGCATGCAGTTCAGCTAGGCAGGCAGCAGCAGCTGAGCGAAGCTAGCTGTACTTTTTTCGTTCAACCGAGTCTGCGTTGTGTTTTTGGGCCCGTTGGCGTTGCGCTTTCATTCTGGTCAATATTTACGTGGCTTTCATCTGAGTTTGTAGCTAGGTCTTCGTCTCTTGGAGGCGACCGTTTCTGGAATGTTGCCGTACGAGCAGATTTACCGGATCTGAGTTTGAACGGAGAGAACCAAAGGGCAGGAGTAGCCTGCACGACTTACCACAAGTAAGTGGTTCTGCTTGCGATTTCTTGTTATTTTCTCCGTCATATCTAGCGAGCTTATTGTGCTAGTTCTGGAGGCGTGCGCGTTCATTAGCGCTGTGCGAATGCGTTAAATTTCTGCAAAGAGCCGCTTGTGCTGGGTGTTGAATTTGTCGGCTGGTTTGTTGTTTCGTGGTTTTGCTGTTGAACTGAGTCGTGAACTCAAGCAGTGGCACTGGAAATGTCCATTTGTTCGCAATGGAAAAATTGTGCCGGGGTTGTTCGGCTATTTTGCTTCGCACCGGTTCGTTCGCCGACTATTACAAACGCGTGTACGGCGCAATATTTTGTGCGTCAGCTGTGTGGGTGTCTTGTTGGGACTTAGTGGTTAGTGAGCCCTGTGCCGATGGATTTATGTTCTGGTGACTAGCGGTCTGTGTTTCGCTGGGCGGTAAATAGGCTCTGGGTGTTTCCGTGTTGAACTTTTTATTTATTTGTGCATTTGATCAGCTGACAATCAGTGAAGCGTTACTTCCACTCATCGAGCGACGTACTCCGGGGGACATAGGATGATAGGGCGTTGACGTGTCAGTACTTTCTCGTTGCTTCTTTTATCAGTTGCATCCTTGACCTACCGGTATTGCTCAAGGTTTCCCTGTGGTGGGAGATGTTTGTTGCGCAGTGCGTTTGTCCCGCTGCGCGTCTTGGGGCTTCGTGATCAATCAACAGCGAAACAATAAAACCTAGTGGCCTGGCATTGTGACTTATTTTCTTTGTTCTTTCACGATCCCTGCACGTAATGCTAAGCACGGAGCTCTAAGTTAGTTGTAAGGAAATAGATAGTTCTTCGTTCGCTCGTTCATCGCACTTGTACTTTCACTCACCAGTTGCGAAATTTTTTATTTCAAGTCTGAGATCTCGAGTTTGATCACGTGACGACCGGAAGTATGCCGTGCAAATCAGACCGGAGTTGAATCGCAAGACTCGTCATCGAGCGCCGATCCGGACAGGATAGAATGATTCTTTCATTGCTGGGACTCGAGAGCGGCTTCCACTTCTGACAAGTTTTGCTGGAACACCGAGAATTAGTGGTGTTTTGCCTTTTGAGCGAGCGATGTGTGCTGCGTTCATACGTGACTCGCCACTTGTAAAAGTTTGTGCAGCCGCAGTCGTTTGCCAGTGTAAGAACATCTGTGCGCTAACATGGTGGGCTGGATCGAATTTCCGTGTCAGCGACTTGCTTCCGCAGCGCTCCTCTTTAAATTTTACCTGTTTGGTAGTGACTGGCGTGGAGAGAATCGTTCCTGGGATGTCTTTTTTCAATTTATTTTTATATTTTGCCCCTGTCACATTTGTATTGTTGAAGTGTTTGGTCTTGGTTGATGCGCATGTTCAAATTGTTGTGCCAGCACACACGTCGCTGCGATTCTAAACACGACCATGCGCATGCAGGACAATTGACACAAAACAATTATCTTGTGTTGGCTTGCCCTGGGCTTTGTCATGTCAGTGGGTGTCCATGTGCTTTTGTTTACACTGTATGACTGTGTTGGAGAGGAGTGGGCTGCATCCTGTATTTTGTAATGATGGAAAGAAACATCCTGAGTGGCTTCCACTGAGCCACAGTGTGTGACGTGTGTGCGTGTGTGTGTGTGTGTGTGTATGTGTGTGTGTGTGTGTGTGTGTGTGTGTGTGTGTGCATGTATGTGCGTCCCTGATTGCTCCTTGGCTTCAGCTAGTCCTCCATACATGCACATTGTGACTGGTTACCATTCAGGCAAACTCTGCATCTGGGCAAGCGCCCAACTGCATTCAGCGACCACCTGCTGTATGCAGCTGTGTGGTTTACCGTATTATCTCCATTATAAGCCCAACGCTTATAATTATTGTTTCAACCAGTCCGGACGCCGGGCTTCTACAAGAGACTGGGCTTATAATTTTTCTATCATCTGGTACATGCACATTGCTTATTATTATATCAGCAGCACAAAGTTTCGCACCAGGTATTGGGACAGCGGTTTTGTGCTTCCTGGTACACTGAGTGAGCCTGAACTTTAGATCTCGGGGATCACCGACTTTTACCACAGCAATCAGCATATTGTGTTTATGTGATGTGTGACGTCAAACATGCATGGACATGATCCATACAGTTCTCCATTATAAGACCTGCGCTTATATTGGAGACTGCGCTTGTATATCTTCGAAGCCCTCTTGGAGTGCGCTTATAATAGAGACTGGGCTTCTACAAGAGACTGAGCCTGTAATGGAGATAATACGGTATTTGGGGTCGGGCAGGGCAACAGTTACCCTGTAACCCATTTTCCGAAATTGTCTTGCCATGCAAAAATGCAACTTGGGGGTTAAGACTACCGACTGCATTTTTTTCGTTGAATTGCCTGAAAACACTAAAATCGGCAAATGAGTGTGTGTGTGGGGGGGGGGGGTCAATCAGAGTAAGGGGCGCTACACCCCCTTTGGCTAGAGCCCTGCGTAGTATAATCCGCACTTTCAAACACCAGTAGTTCACCGTAAAAAAAATCTGTGCGGCTTATGCTACGATGATCAAGTTGACAGTGGTAAATGGGGTAGATGTCTTTATTTCGTGACAAAAAGTCTGGGTGTGGCTTATACATGTAATCAGCAACATTTAGTTAACTTTGTATACAGTAACACTTGCCCTTGGCGCAACGGAAACTGTCCTCATATGATTTCACGTGATGCAGAGATGCACATTCGATCCACAGCTTGTCGGTGCATGACAATTTTGTCCGGTCAATACAGGATGCCACTTGGTACAGGGTCCGGCAAACACAGGTTTTACTGTAATAGGTAAAGTTATCCGGATTTTCGGCCGCATCACCTGACCTGTTGAGGAATACACCAAGCAAACACCTTTGCATCGGCGTACTGTATAAGCAGAAATATCCGTCTGGAATTTAATTTCGTCTTTTTCGTCCAAGGAGCTTTTGAACTAAATTAAATGCCGGACGAATGTCGATTTGTCCAGCTTTTCAATACACTCTTATGATCCATGGACGAAATTTACAGCCGGACGAACTCCCTTTCTTTGGAGTTGGTCGAAATTATTGACCGACGAAATTTTCTGCCTCTACAGTACCTAACACATACTGAGAAGGACCCAGAAGCTGTCTGTGACTCTGACTATTTCTGAGTTCCATACCCTTCTCTGTATGTGTATAGGAAATTAGGTATGCGCTCTGTAGCCAGGGTACATGACAGTGTTGCTTGATGTCATCCAGTTGCGTTACTCCAGTACTTGCCGGGCGTTGCGCAGCCCCAGAGGCCAGACCTGCGAACACTGGGCTGCGAAATTGTGCTAGGCGCACACTTGAGTGAAGCGACTGGATTTTATTGAGCAGCACTGTCTCTCTCTCTTTCTCTCTCTCTCTCTCTCTCTCTCTCTCTCTCTCTCTCTCTCTCTCTCTCTCTCTCTCTCTCTCTCTCTCTCTCTCCCTCTCTCTCTCTCTTTCTTTTTCGACACCACTACTCGCTCTATGTGTATGCACAATTGACGGACATTCCGTCCCTGACTGTAGAGGGTACTGTTTCAAGGATCGTGCGTGTGTCCTCTCGGTCGTTTGGTGTTGTTATTTTCCGTCCACTGAGCAGACCCATGTAAACACACGTGTACACACACAAACCCAAACACACGTACGCATGCATAAGTGCATGTCTCTGTCTGTTGAAACGTTCTGAGAGATCTAATGTGCTCTTTTTTTTGGTTTGACGTTCCTTGTCCTGGTCTATTCTCCGTTGTCGACGTTATTGTACTCTCTTTGGTAGTTTAGTTATGGATAGGCGCTCTCATCATGCTCCGTAAGTCCGACCTGGAATGCGTGTATTTATGTTCGGCCAGCGTTGATTGTCTTGTTGCGCGCTAATGTATAGCGCTGGCCAAAGAAATCCAACCTCTTGAATAAAGTAGCGCCGCGTTCGAGTGCACACACCAGTATGTGTAGTGCTAGGGCCGTGTGGCGCCCAGCGAGTATTTTATTCATGAGATTGGATTTCTTTGTCCAGTACTGTACATCACTCACTGCCCTGTTCAGCTACGGTGCTGCTCAGTGAAATCCAGTCGCGTCACTCAAGTACGTGCCGGGCATAGTTTTCGCAGCCCGGTATTCGCAGGTCTATGGCTGCGCAACGCCCGACGTGTACTTGAGTGACGGGTCTGGATTTCACTTATGCAATACTGTACTTCCACGTATGTTCACGTTTGTCCGGTTTTGTTTTAGTCCTGTGACGTCATGCCTGGACCCGTGTGTGTTTAGCTGTGTCCGAGTTGTCCTCGTAGCTGTGTCGTAATCCGTGCCCTTGTTTTGTCCTGTCGTTTCCAGTTTTACGCTCTGTGTTGTCTCCGTGCTGTGTGTTTTGTGCGATCGTTGCTGTTGCTGTTGCCGTCGGTTTAGTGTCCTGTTATGTCAGTCGGTGTTATGTACTGTCTCTATCGGTCATGGTGCGAGTTTGTCTTGTCTCCCTCGTGCGTTTGTTTGGTGTCCGTCCTTTGGTGTGCCTGTTGGGACCTTCCGGTGGGTGGGTGGTTGGTTGGCTGCTTCTTTTCAGTGTGTGGTGTGTATGCATGGCTCTGAGGAGATAGAGACGTCCAAGTTGCATGTCATATACATGTGTGTTTGCCTTCGTGCGCATGTCACGGAATCTATTCGCTTGGAAAAGAGCTCTGCCATACGCTATCCATGATAGGTGCTGGCCTTCATTTTGCCGGAGGAGTATGTTACCCTCAGCGGGATGTGCACAGTCACACTGGAGTATGATGTCAACGAGATTTGCACCGTCACACCGGAGTATGATGTCATCACCGAGGTTTACATGATCATGCAGGCGAGGCGTGCATTTCGCTCTGTTGACCTCTGTTAGCCGGATGTGCATGGTGCGCGTTTGTACGACACGGTCGCATTCTTGTCCTGATCGTGTTCTCGCGTGTGTGTCTGTGCTCCCACGTCCTATGCGTGTGTTCCCTCGTCCTATACGTGTGTGCCCTCTCCTTGTAGACGCAGCCGCTGGAGTGAAGCCAGTCGCGCTGCCCCCGGCACTCTGTCGACCAACGGTTCCTATGCGATGAACCCATTCCAATCGCTGATGCCGTCATCCAGTGGTTACTCATCAGGTCAGGGCCTGGCGCGCTGCGCAAACAATCTATGTCTTGTGCTGTAGCGTGTACGCTGCTGGTGTGACGTGTGTGTAGTAGTACTGTGTGCGTAGTGTACATGTAGAAACTGTGGAACCAACATGGCTGACTTATGTCTGTGTAGTGTGTTTACTGTGGAGTCAACATGGCTGACTTATGTCTGTGTAGTGTGTTTACTGTGGAACCAACATGGCTGACTTATGTCTGTGTAGTGTGCTTACTGTGGAGTCAACATGGCTGACTTATGTCCGTGTAGTGTGTTTACTGTGGAACCAACATGGCTGACTTATGTCTGTGTAGTGTGCTTACTGTGGAGTCAACATGGCTGCCATGTCTGTGTATTATATGTACTGTCGAGCCAGCATGGCCGACATATGTATGTTTGAAATCTTTTATTCTCACGATGGCCTGTGGCGAATAAGAGAAAAGGAATTACAGGCACGGGGATCGAATACAGAGAGATCAGCGTTTAGCTGCTTGATGAAGTAGTAGCGATGGCAATAGGGAGTTTATCACGTAGGCTGGGCACAATGGAGCTGTAGATGTGCTGAGCAAGTACATACATGCATTGTATGTATTGTATAATCTGTGGAACCAACATGGCCACCATGTTTGTACATGTAGTGTGTTTACTGTGCACCCAACATGGCTGACTCATGTATGAACTGTACCAACTGTAATTTCACAAATTTTCGGTGTACTTCTATTTTCGGTACTTCGGGTGCGTCTGTTTCAGAACTAAAATTTCAATACCCCGAACAAACACTAACACACATACCGGTAATCCAATAGGGAACTGCTTCTCTGTACCTAAAATTTCTGTTCACCTAACCTGGCCTTTTGCCTTCATACCGACAATATTGAGCACCTAAAAATTCTGAAATGAGAGTAAACTGTAAAGCCAATATGGCTGGCATGTGTGTGTAGTGAATAGCCCGCGGGAACCAACATGGCCGATGTCATGTGACCCAATGATGCATGGAAGTGCCTGGAGTTGGAACCCAACGTGGCAGTCCGTCATGTCATCCGTGCATCCAGTGAATGGGTAGCCGACATAGCTGCTTGACCTGCCCATGTAAGATACAAGTCTCTGCGGGGGTCGGTGGGTCGCTGTACACGATCAAGTATGGGTGCAGCATTGCTGTTCCGACACTGATATGTTATTGACTGAGTAGGTGGTATTAATTTTATCATGGTGTTTCAACGTGTATGGTGGAGAATTGTAGAAACAAGTGGTCAATATGGCACTGGTCAAATATGGTACTGGTCAAATATAGCACTGGTCAAATATAGCACTGGTCAAATATGGCAAATATTTGACTAGTGGAGATCAGGGTAATTAGTGGAAATCAATATGAATCCATGATAATGCTGAATACATGATTTGTATACATTGCTGAGGTTCTGCTCCAAGTATCAAATGTGTGCTGTGCTGTTCCGTGGGGTTCAACCTACCGCTTCTTCATTTTGGTTTTTCTCCCCTTACTGTTTCGGTGGGGTTTGCTTGAGATAAGCAGCTGCTTGTACACAGTGAGGTTATTCTGGGATATGATGTGCTAGGTGTGAATTGACAGTGCAATGCGTGGATTGACAGTGCGATGTGCTGCATCTGGGCGGTCCTTGCTGAGTGATTTTTGCGGAATAGCACAGCGGGGAACTGGAGAGGTTGCTGTAGTTGCTGGCTTGGTATCCTTGACGAGAGGACTTCTCGCTAACGCAGACAGGCATAATGGGATGGTCTAAGACCATGATTGAGAAACAGAGGGTGCCAGGTTCAAGTCCTGCGTGGAAGCGGAAGGATTTTTCCTGCCGTGCTGCGACCCACAGTTAATTGGAAACTCGTGGCCTGGCACGAGGGAAACACGGATGCAGCGAATGGGATTTTTGGTCTTTGACCACTTTGCTGGTGGGCTGATCTACTCACCTCCCATCGCTTTAGGAGCTGCATCTGCGCCTTTGATCTTTTCAGGGCGGTGGTGTCCCTACGGATGCTGAAAACTCAATAATTATAACCGAGTCTCAAGCGATCCGTGATTTTTTTGTCCGTGACGTAGCGACTGTATGCGTAAGGTAGTCCTTTCATTCAAGTCCAGTCTTCTGCAATGCCACGGCCGTAGTACTCTAATTTCAGAAATTTTCGGTATGAGGGCAAAAGGCCAGGTTAGGTGAACAGACATTTTAAGTACAGAAAAGCAGTTCCCTATTGGATTCTGTGTGTTAGTGTTTGTTCGGTGTGTTGAATTTTTTAGGTATGAAACAGATGCACCGAAAGTACTGAAAATAAAAGGTACACCGAAAATGTTGTAAAGTTACAGTGTGTTGAGACTTGTGTCGGCAGGGGGTCGCCCTGCACTGGTCATGGCAGGCGTGAGGTGAAGCCCGCCTTGGAGGTCACCCTGTGGGACATCCAGGCAATCTGCTGGGATTTCCCAAGTAAAACTGACTAATTACCGATAGCTCGGAGTACGTCTGAACAGTTAAATCAAAACTGACTTACCAGACAGCTTCTTGAAGTCGGAACGACTTGCTGAATTGATTGCAATGATGTATAGACCCATGTCGAGTGTATGCTTGGCTGCGTAGCATACGTACATTGGTGGTCATTGGAGTTTTGTAATTGGTAATGGGTGCCGAGTTCCGGAGTATACGTGCGGTGCTGGTGGTCTGTGGAGTTGTGTAATTGGCCGTGTGCTGCGGTGAGATGGCAATGGCGTGCAGCAAACGACCTGCAGAGTGGGCGGCGTGCACACCATTCAGCACTGCTCTTTGGCGAGGACTTAGCTCGTCGTTCGGTGCATGCAGGTGTCGGAGTCGTGCATGGCATGCTGCTGGTGCACGCATTCTTTGTAGACTTGCGAGCAATTTGTCGGTGCATGCGGGTTTCGGAGCGTTGCATGGCATGCTGCTACTCACAGACTTGGTTGACTTGCAAGCAGTTCATTCATGTCTAGTACAGCTTTGGCGACGGTCGTGGTCTAGCGTCCGGCCCCGAGATACATTCTCATTGCCAGCGGGCTCCACAAGCTCACTTCTCTCTGCTGTGCTGTTGACTCACCACAGCACAAACGCATCACCTTTCTTTTTGTTTTGTTTAGTGATGTGTATATTGAACCAGTACAGTCTGTAAACCTTCCCACTCAAGAAGAACAAGAGGTCTGGGTCTATACGTACCGACATTCTAAGAAGATCAAGAGCTCTGTTGTGGAGGATTGGAGTGTTTTCTCTCTAGCATAGGCTTTCAGTGCAGCAGAATCCTTGTCAGACCTAGCCAGTACTTCATCCTCAAATTCTTCTTGTTCGTAGCCGGTCGACTGGGCACTGAAGTAAAACCAAGCCAAGGTCACGTTGTACGGAATTGGTTTAGCGTAGTCTATCAGTGCACTAGTATCGTTGCCAGGCCTAACCGGTACACCATGCTCCAAGACTGCTTCACATAGCCAGATCACTGGGCACTGAGTAGCCGCAGTAAAACAACCAATGTTGCGTTGTGCCGAATTGGAGTGTTGACTGCTTGGCATAGTCTAGCACTGCGCCAGAATCTTTATCAGGGGTAATCGGTGCACCATGCTCCAAGACTGCTTTACGTAGCCAGATCACTGAGCACTGTGTAGTCTGCTGCAGTAAAACAACCAAGGTCGTGTTGCTCTGCACGACTGACTTTGGCAAGGGCCCGCCGTAGGGTTAGAGAGGGCTCCTGGAATACCAGGCACCGTTGTGGATATGATCAGACAGGACAGTGGCTACCGTACCGAGACGGGAGAGGATGCTATTGCGCTCAGACTCAGCCCGGATATGGCCATTTCGTCCGTAGCCAGCGGATTGATGTTCTGTAAGCGTTTGTCGTCCACGCAATTCAGAGTTTCTGCATAGGCATGGCTCTTATCCACAAAGAGTGAGAAGAGCAGAAGAGTAACTGTATTGCCGTCGTTATTCTTTGTGTATAGTGCTCTACATCCTGGTGTATTGAGCACACACATGCACACACACACACACGCATACACACACGCACGTGCACTCACGCACACACACACACACAGCCAAGCTATTGGGTCGGGCCAGAGCACAGTCTGGAGTGGTGGCGTCGCTAGCATTGTCGTGGTCGTTGAGATCCGATGGGATGACCCGGGGCCGGCGCCCTTCCTGCTTTTAGCGTGTACACGCACTGTAGTTCATGCACACACTGCAAAAATGGACCAGCGGTGTTCGCGGCTGCCAGGCCAGCGTCCCGTGGCCACTCGACTTCTCAATAGATTTCAATAGAGAGGTTCCGCACTATGTAAAGTTGAGCAACTTTACGTTAGTGGCCGGGAAAAGCCCGTGAATTCGCGAGTTTGCACTCCCCTCACGGAAAGTTGTCTACGTAGAGCACGTAGATAGGGCTCTGATAACGTAGGTGCTTCGTAAGTGGATTGGGGTACACTTGTATGACTCTCTCCCCAGGTCGATCCGGTCGTACACTTCTGTGTCCGGAGTTGCTAAGGGCAGCTACATGATTTGAAAACTCTGTATGGCGGAACACAGATCCGCATGCAGTTTACGTCGAACTTTCCGTAGGTCGACTACGTTTTTTACTATCATAGTTGCACTATGCGGAACGTCTCTAATGTCAGCTACAGTTGCTGAATTGATGTACTATGTGTGGCCAAGTCTGTTGCAACTACTCTCCGATGATGCAATGTCGAGTAATAATTCTCGTGTGGTGTAATGTTTTAGTAATTCCCACTGCTGCCGTGTCTGCTGCATGTTTCTATGACCTGTTCACAGTGTCGGGAATGTCCGAGTCGGCGTCCAGCTTTCTTCACTATGGCGACGTCACGTCGCTGTTTGCCGAGGGCCCAGTGCAGGGCTTCATCAGCACACTCGGGTAAGTAGAACACATAGACACTGGGGAGATGCGCGGGGAACCCTAGTCACATGACTGACTATGCGGGGAACCCTAGTCACATGACTGACTATGCGGGGAACCCTAGTCACATGACTGACTATGCGGGGAACCCTAGTCACATGACTGGCTATGCGGGGAACCCTAGTCACATGACTGACTATGCGGGGAACCCTAGTCACATGACTGACTATGCGGGAAACCCTAGTCACATGGCCGCGACTGTGCATGTAAACATCAACTGCCTTGTCTATAACGTCGAAACCCGAGAGATGTTACTAATTCTATGACCTGGTTTTTTTGCCAAAAACCGCATTGTACAATGCGTACAATGCGCAGACACCACTTTTTTCTTTTTTCTTATTTTCTTTTTTTGCTTGATCGATTCACAGAAAGTGTTTGACCGGTGTCGTACATATATATGTGGTCCTCTTAACCCTTGAACTTGAACTTATTATGATGTGGTGTATGTACTCTGTGTGGTTTGGTGCAGTCTCGTCGACGACAGATGTGTTGTGCAGCCAGAGGCCGGCAACCTGGTCAACCCACCATCGAAGTTCAGAGGTACGGTCGAAACCTGACAAGGGGAGCCCTCTGATAAGTGATAACACCGCGGCCGGGGAGGGTAGTATCTGGGGAGACTACATGGGCGACTCGCTAAGATATATTGAATGATTTTCGTCTCGTTCCCGGGTTGCCCGTTCTAGTGCGCTTGGTGCATGGCCGATTTATACACACTCTCACTCGCTTGTCTAGTTTTGCACTGAGCGCACAACGACTGTGTGTGTTTCGTGATTTGTATGGAAACGACTTAGGCAGGTTTTTTCTTGTGGAGTTTATGGCTAGCGTTATTTGACGAGAATCATTACCCCCGTCTGATGCAGGAGCCAGTAAATGATGTGCCGCAAACGGCACGGCGCGTTGTCTGTTTTGCGTTCAATGCGTTTTACACTAAACAAGTTTTCTTGTATTTTTTTATTCATTGACGAACACACATGCATAGGTGCACTCAAGTTTGTTTACAAGTATGGCTTGTAGCCGCGTACACGTAACACTGTTCTTCTCTACCACCCGTTGTGTCTCTCCACTCACCCACAGGCTGCCTGTTCAAGATTGTGCCCATACATTTACCATGTGATTCCCATGCGTTTCCCATGTGATTCCCATGTGTTGCCCATGCGTTTCCCCTGTGTTTATCTCTCCACTCACACGCAGACTGCCTGTTCAAGATTGTGCCCATGTACCGCTACGCGGCACGCAAGCAGTTCAAGGAGGCTGGCAAGCGTGATACGTGGAACATCCCGGATGTCATGCTCGTCAACCGCCTCAAGGAGGCCGTGGAACACGAACAACGTCAGAACGAGGAAGAGCAGCGCAAGAGCCTCGGTGAGGTGGTCACCTATGGCAGCGTGGTGCAGGTAAGCTGCTTGAACACGTGTCAGATATCCATATGTTTGTATGTACATCTATAATGCATGTGTAGTTGCATGACTGTGTAGTTGCATGTGTACAGTCAACTTCGCTAATAACGACTGCGGATATAACGACAATTCGCGAATAACGACCGAATTTCCATGCCCAGAGCAAAGTCCCATCTAACTGTATACATTTAACTTCGGATATAACGACTATCTGAATAACGACAATTCGCGTATAGCGACATGCTTTTAGTGCCCCGAGGTCATATTCACTGCTTGAATAACGACTTTCTGGGCTTTTGACAGCTATTTCAAGTACCCGTCAGTCAAGTACATGATTGTACATGTACCTATCATGCAGAAGTACCAGAACCTATGGTGATGGATATTATTATTATAAAGGCACACATGCAAGAAAATGCAGCCAAGGGGGGGGGGGGGGCTTTTTCTTCCTTTTTTATCTTCAAAATTGTTGGATTTACCAGCACACCTATTATGTATACAATGTACATGTAGTTGTACATGATTGCACAGTAATCATCATACATGTATGTACATGTCCCTGGCCCTGTAGATGGCTCAAAAGGCATATTTTTTCAATTGATTTCCCTTGCATATTGAATTTTTAGTTCCTTTCAACTGCAATATGAAAATAAAGTACACATTGACATAGAGCAAGAAAAGAGCTTGATTTTGATATGCATGTCATACTATACAAAATATGGGTTCACATACATTCAAATGGGACTTCGGTTATAAGGACACTTCGCGAATAAGGACACTTTTCTGATGCCCCACCGAATGTCGTTATTGGCGAAGTTGACTGTAGTTGAATGTGATGTCATCTCGACTAGCATGT